GTATCTATCAGGATCGAAACTGCAACGTTCGAGGCAGCGACAATTGAAGGAATTACAACTTATAACTAAAGTATTACTCCATCTGAAATTTTCTTCTTACCTTTCATAGAGTTTATTTGAGTGCTTATAAAATTATCATCATCATTAGAGATGTAACATAACTCATAGATAAATAAAAAATCTTCTTTAATTTTCTGGTCTCATGCCCATTTTCAACGATAACGAGTATACGAGAGAATACGAGTAATACACGTTAAAAATGCGCACTTTTGGGAACTATTGTACGTCAAACCATTGATCTCAAAGCATGCGTCAAGTTCACGTTGGATCAAATCGGGCGTCAGCATGAGTTTAACAAAATGGTTGTTATTCAATCTCAGCTAATGACGCTCGAATCGTAATCAAATCAGGCACCTGTATTCCATTTCCAGCGGCAGTACTAGTAATCTAGAAACGATAATATGTAAACGCCATTAGTATTCACTTGTGGCCACTGGACGCTAACAAAACTAAACGAAAACGTGATCCAAATACCTAGGCAAAATACACCCACAGAACTTGGATGAAACGTGTCTAACAAAACACTAAAATCGGATCGGAATCGGGAATCTACCTGCCCTCTCTAACCAAATCCTAAACCACCGCAATACTTTTTAGATAGTAACGATTTTTGCGTTAGAATTTGACAATAATGTAAAACAAATCTAACCATGGGAGAGCCATGGCCCATCCTCCCTTCACCTGACTGTGAGAGGAGGACTCAAAAGATGTCAATGAATTTGTGATTATTGAGTAATAAGTGTCCATAGAGGTGTTTATAACATAATATTTAATAAATAAACACATGTTTTGTTTTCGCTTTAATTAAGATATACAGGCTGATGATGATGATGATGATGAAGATATACAGCTAGGTTTTAGTTCGTGAATCAATTTTTATGTCGAACGGTAACACATTTCAATAAATGTGTAGTCTATTTATCTATTAACATATAAATATTTGTATTACATTTACAACAATTAAGGACCAAAATTGGACCAAACTTGTCAAATGTGTATCAATCATGAGCGCATCGCAATCCACTACTGCACATAGGCCTCTCCCAAATATGTATGTATGTACATGGCATGGGGTGGCCCATTGTCTAAATTTCTCCCTTCGAATTTACAATAGAATACCTAATAAATAATAACCTAGAGACCTTCTCTACTTATCTTTTATCTATATTGCTGATATTAGAGACACTACAATCACTAACGAACATCAAACAAAGTATCACTTGACGGAAGTGGTTGACATTATTGGAAAAGTTTGTCTTAAACGTCATTCGGTTCTCGTGACGCTTTGGTCGACTTTCCAAACTTGTTACATCTCAACTTAAAATATGTACAACTGTTTCGTTGTAATACCTATATTATACTCTATCTATCATTGCTTTATTGGCTGCATTTATATTGCTGCATTATTTATTACTTATTTTTAACTTTGTCATCTGACTTATTTCATAATTTTCTAGACAAGATCGCACTCCCACCTGAGAGAGTATTTGCTGCTCCTATTGCAGGTGTCCAAGAGCGTACTTGTCATTATACACAAAGTGCTAATTACTAGATATTTTTAGTGGCAATTCAACACCAGGGAAGTATTAAAACATCACTGAACCGAAAAGTTTTGTAATAATTACTGCAAAATATATATACTGATATGTATCTTATAATGAAATTATTATTAAATAAAAATTTCAAATACTTGTACTGCGTCATCACACATCTCATCAACAGCTTACATAGGCCTCGGAGGTTTTGACCTTCTATACCATGTTGGCTAGACGGGTTGGTATAGGATCTGTGCCAAGTTTTCCTTTCCTTTGCAGTGCTATTGACCTGCATAGTTTGCTTTCTTAGTCGGCTCTTGCGACACCCACAGGATGAAGAGTAATTTTAATCCGTCACCACGCGGATGGACTTATACTGTTTAAAATAATGAAATACAGAATGTAAAAAAAAAACTTTGTTATTTCTTCAAGTTGGTAAATTTAATAATATTTCCCCACACTTTTTACAACATCGCGATCACGACTAATTCTGTGTACAGCAACTGTCGGAAGAAAATTGGCAAAGTTATCATTTGGGGCCTGTGGCCATCGTTATTATTGTAAACACACAAACAATAAAGGTCGTTATAACACGCCCTCGGGTCGCACCGCGACAACCCTGTTATCTCGCATCAACTTCTCGATTCAAATGACGCGCACTCATTGGCGCGTGCCAACCAACTTCCGCCAATGGCGTTTTATAGTAACAATTAAAACGCCTAGGGTTGTCGCGCACTCATTGTTGTATTACGCCGTATATTTAAAACTTAACGGGATTTAACGACATCCGTCCGTACCAGACGCGGCAGGACAATGATACTGCGAATTTTCATATAAAAAGTGGAAAAAATGTTAGAAACGTAAATGAATAGGATCGTTTGTTAGTGCCTCTCACAATGATATAAATTATGGAGCGAGGAAGTACGCACGGATGTAATTAAAGGACCTTGCGATGCCTCCGGGGATCTGTATTGAAATTCGTTATCTCGCACTGACATTATAACTTTTATTTTCATATTTCTTGTTAAACGCTTTTATTCAAATACATATTGGCGAAATATTATTTTTTCTATATAGTTCATCTTTAGGACTAATTACATATATTGTTTAGAAAATAAAATACAAGAAGTATTTGTATTAACATGTTGACCTGATTCTGTAAATAGGATGCAATCTCAGTGTGAGGACAATGGGCACTTTTGCGAGGGTAGAGGGGTTCGTCCCTCAACGTGACACGTGGCCGGACACGGCGCAGCGGGCGCGCATTGTGCCGTGCTCTTATCGCAATTATCTGAGCAACAGTTGCGGACGGGGCGTGGGCTATTCTGCTTTATAAACTTGAGAAAATGTATATAGGTTATTGGAAATTGTTATCGTCGCTGTTTTACTTTTAATTCATTTGCGTACCTGTATACAATCTTAAAATAGGCTTTTTTACACTCAAGATACAGCTACTGCTACACTGCTGCTATAGTGCTACATTAAGAGCTGCTAGATTGACTCTAAGGCTCAGCTCAGCCAGGCTCGGCAATAATTTTTGTAGTCCAGTATTTTCAAATATTACTAGAGAGATGTATCCCAAAACTACCTTAACACTGGTTAATTAGCTGGTCATAAGCACGACTGAGCATCACAGAGTGACTCAAGTGCTCTCTTGAAACACCAACCAAGGGCTGGCGGCATAATCCGAACTAACCTTACAATGATTGAATAAAGGAAGACTTAGTTGGAGTTCTGTATAATAACACATCACATCACACATCAACAGCCTTTAATAGTCCACTGCTGGACAAAGATTTAGAAAGGAGGTCTGTATAATATACTACAATTATATTGCTGAAATGGTAAAACCTTTTATTTATATCTTCATTGTATACAGTTAACACAAATAAAGATTATTTACAAATATGTCGACGTAACAATCGGCGGTCTTATCTTATAAAATATCAACAAAAGCATTCATACACAAATATACATCTGTTCACATTACACTTAGATAAATACACACTATATATATATATATATATATATATATATATATATATACAGTTTAAAATATATACTATATATAATGTCAAATAAAAATCCTTCACAAGCTTTTTGAAAACGGGCAAGGTTTTAGCTTGTCGGATTGTCAGAGGCAAGTTGTTCCAAAGTTTTCTGCTTGCACAGTAAAAGATTTGTCTGCAAACTGGGCGGAATGTTGTGGCATTTTTAGTTTTAAATTCTCCGATGACCTTAGGTCCCTGCAATGTGTGTTGTGTAAGAACTGAAAACGTTCATTGAGATCATCGTTGAAATAGAACATTGTATAAAAGAGAAAGAATGTGAAGATTCCGGCGAAAGCGTATTGGTAGTTGGTAGCCACTTGAGTTTAGAACGTTACTCTGAGATGTGATAACTCTATTACTCACACTATTACTTTCATTTTGAAAAGCTGTTAGAGCCCTTTTTTTTTTTTTTTCCGTGCGGAAATCCCCTCGGATACCACCTGTCGGTGGCATGTCGGACTCGAACCGACTAAAACCGCACGCCGTCTCGGGTACTAATAGCCGGGGAACCAGGTATATCCTAGAAAGGAAGTCCCTGGTGCCCCGACATACCTCGAGTCATCTACAGACGAGTAGACCCCCCCCCCCCCCCCGTGTGTGGGAGCTGTTAGAGCCCTGACATTAACTAGAAGGAATAGAATTAGAAGGGCCCAGGGACAAATTACAGCGAGGTGAATGAAAAAGTTGTCTGCGAGTTGCCGACTGAATTGATATTAAAATATACACTAAATACACCCATTGCTATTGCAAACGATCTATTCTTCTTAGACTTAAAGTACATAAATTTTGCATTTATATGTTTCGTTTTTTCACATAAGATAAAATCGATTATATCTGGCTTATATAGTAATATAATATACTATTACAATTCTGACAATATTGTTTGTGTAGACATCTTAAATATTACCCTTCCACATAACAACTACTTCTTTTTTATAGTAATCAACCATTTTTCTATTCCTTAAAAGCGGTACCACAACTACGCCAATGTTCTATTCCACTCGAACGATTCTACTTCTCGCAAATTAGAGTGCGATGTCAAAGCCGACCTCATCCAACGTTGTTCCAATCTCGCCTCACAGACGAGTCAGTAGGGGGAGAGAGGTAGGAGGGGTGGTGGTGTCGCAACAGGTGGCGCCATGGTGCCGGCGTACGACGACTCATAGCTATAGAGTTTTATATGATGGAAACAGATCGTTCTGACATTGAGTTCTGCACGATGACGTGTAGAGTTCATTTTTCAATACCGTTTTATTAGGCACTTCACCACTCCAGGCTATAATGTGATAAATCTAAAATATGGTTTATATTTAATAATGACGTAATACTTAATCGAAAATTTTCATTGTTACAGAACGAGGCCAAACCACCCCGGCGCGGTCGTAGAAATTAGTGACAATCCCCTGGATTCCAGCAAGGTAATTATTATCTACACACGTCATAAAGGCTTATTAACGCTGGTGTGCCATGAATTTGAGATCGACGTCTTGTACCGATTGTATTATAATCAATTATTCATTAGTCATCAAAAGTTTTAGTATATCTAACATTTTCCAACATAAGATTACCGATAAAAGACAAAAGAACCGATGAGCTTCCCAGCCACGGGGAATGCGCAAAATGTGGGTACTCGTTATGTTAGCAAAGCGATATGTATTAGCAAAGTGTGTCTGGGGTAGGCAGAGACGATAGAACGCCATTCTCCACGATTAAAACGCCTCTTCCACATTCATCAGACCTTCGAGCTCGTCGGTTATGGTTACGAATACCTATTTAATTTGAATTATTTCAAATTTCAGTTGCTAATAGCTTTCGAGTCGGGCCTGGTGGTCGTGTGGGACCTGCGGGCGCGCGCGGCCGAGTGGCGGGGCTCGCTGGGGACGGGCGCTCCAGGCGAAGGAGTGCGCGCCGCCGCCTGGCAGCACGACGGGAAGCTCATGACCGCGCACATGGACGGCGGGCTCGCCACCTGGAGCACGAGGGCACCGAGACCTACCTCACTCTCATACCCACATGGTAAATACCAACATTTCTTTTACTCACTCTCATCCGACACCAATTGATATTATTTTCAACAACAAACTCTTTGCACAATATCAGTTATTACCTTGACGTTCTGTATTACAGGCATCGTAACACAAAATATACGTATACATGTATTCAGTTAAAGTTACATCTGTTACCGTTCTGATTACAGCAAAGGCCAACAAAGAAGGCAAGCTGGAACCCTGTAAACCAATACTTAGACTAGAGTGGAAAACATCAAGAACTGGGTGAGTAACACCACCTACACACATTATACATATCTCCTATTACAAATTGTAATTTATCTAACAACTTTTTTAATAATATAATTACTGATATGATAGCAAATTCTTTTTCTCGCACTTTCTTACTTACTTCAACTTTAATATTATCAAAAATACTAATATTTTTAGTAATTTAGGTACCAGACAATTGAATATCTGTGTTTTAATTGCTTCTAGAACTTAATATGCGATGCGATTAACACCGCCATGCAGAATGATCCGTACAACGCCATCTTTCGGTGCCGATGACAATAATTTACATTTTGTTGCTTTTTATGACATATTTTGGTTTGTCGTGTTACAGTAGAGGTACCTTAAACTGTGATTTAATCCCAGCTTTATTTAGCAATTAATTACAGAATATATTTTCGCTTTATATCAAAGTTAATCCAGATCCGTCTGGCCGTTCTGGCGCGATTGAGTGGCATACACCCATCAATCCACCCAACCTTTCACATTTAGTATAACATTAGTATAGAATATTAATACCTCGTCCTATAAAATATGATTACTACCAGTTAACATAATAATGAACAACTGTACATGGACTTAATTACAACATATGGTAGACGTACGTATATCAAATCGCTCAAAGCGTGTTTCTAATAAAGGCAGTGTAATGGAGGCGCCCCCCTCACACCCTCCACATTCCCACTTTACATCTCTTTGATATAGTACACTCCACTTTTTGACAGTCGATATTTAATTAAAAAGCCGTGTGGATAGTCTACACAAATAAATAAAATGTAATGTCTGTTTGTAATGTCAAAATAATAGGTTTCTTTCATGCTTACACGGTTATTCGCACGATACCTATGCCTAAAAACCAGTTTAAAATATTTTTGTCTGTCAGTCTTTCTGTCTGTTTGTTCCGGGTACTCTACAAAACGGCTGGACTGATTTTGATAATATTTTACTAACTAGTTAAATATATGGAGTAACTTAGGCTGTTTTTTCTCCCGGAAAAAGTCTATAAAATTTTGCTTGGTCCGAGAATCGAATTCACTAAGGCAGCGCTTTTCAAATTCCAAGCGAACGAAGTCGCGGGCACCAGCTAGTAAACAATATAGACAGAAATTAAAGAGAAAAACGTTTGATAAAAATCTATGAATTAGCTTCCAGACGAAATATTCAACGATCAGTATTTTATCGTCATTGAACTATTGTAGAAGTACTGTACCCAAGAGTTTTATACTTCCAACCAACAAGCTCCATACATCTTAACTGCACCTATAGTTTCAAATTCAGTGTAATAATGCAAATGTCTAAAATTATCTATATTAATAATGCAAAAACAGTAATAGTAAAAATAATAATCGTAATCATTATAATAATAAGGTGTTTTTCTAGAAGTATTGTGTTGTAGTATTGTATAGGTCACCGACAACATATCAATTTTGGCCAGTCTGTGGATTGTATCATTTCTGCACAACACAGTCCAATTTTATTCCAGTGCCATGATTGACTAAAAGTTCCGATAATAGAAACAAAACTTAAAACGCTTTGGATACAAATACAACGAGAAATGCGGTGATAAACCAAAATTATAAATGTGTCACATTTCTATTTTATATCGTCAGATACGACCTCTTGAAAATCTTCAGTCAGGGGATCATCGATTCAGAGGATGAAATCGACTGGTCAGATTATCATTAACTTTACTGATTTCTTGGTCACATTACTGCTATTCATCATCATTATCATCATCATCAACAGTCTATACTAGTCCACTGCTGGACATAGGCCTCTCCTTAGAAAGGAGGTTTTGGGCTACTATACCACGCTGGCCAGACGGGTTGGTATAGGGTTTGTTTCAAGTTTTCCTTCTCTTTGCAGTGCTGTTGTCCTGCTTACTGCTATTACTTTGTGAATATATATTGCTTTAACCTGGTGTAAATAACCTTTGTAAATAAATCCCTTGCTAGTCCGTGGATTAAGAATACGGAATGTCATAACCCCTATTCATCCTGTGGGTGTCGTAAGAGCCGACTAAGGGAGCAAATTACGCAGGACAACATCACTGCAAAGAAAAATAAAACTTGAAACAAACCCTGTAACCTGTCTGGCCAGCGTGGTATAGTAGGCCAAAACCTCCTTTCAAAGGAGAGGTGCATGTCCAGCAGTGGACTGTTATAGGCTGTTGATGTGTGAAGCGAATCCCTTGCTAGTGTACACAAATAAGGACTTAAACAAAAAGGACGACGATGCGTCGTATGTAGTGACTAGCGACTCGGGACTTTCAAGTTCACAGTGGCTCGCCCTCTCATTGCTATCGCTAAAGATATTGTTACAGTCGAATAGGGTAGACAACTGTTAAGTCAAATCAGTATCTAATTTTCGATTTCTAAACGCTAGAGGCGGTGTATTTTTGTATGAAATACTATATCGTGACGTCATACCCGGCAATTTTCAAATCATTTATATTTAATGTAGATATATTGATATCTGTGTTGTGACCAAGTAAGATTACGGCGTGTCACCACCCCCTTTTAATCCCGTGGGTGTCGTAAGAGCCGAGAAAGGGAGCAAACTACGACAACAGCATTGCGAAGAGAAGGAAAACTTGCAACAAAACCTATAACATAAATTCTTTTATTAGTCCTAATTAGCAACCGTCTAAGTGGTACTAATAAAAGAATTTAGGGGTCGTTTAATACGCCTGAGTGTATGTAAAATGACTTAAAAGCAAACACATTTAACCCAACCCATGATCACTCCTTTTCAGAAGAAAAACATTCGTTTACAAAATTCTACTCTATGCTCTCTCACTGTCACCAAGAATTTATTTTGGTTTGAACACTCGATTTACTCTCGTGAGATTGTTATGAATGAAATAAGGAGCACAACACCCGTCACCACCCACGTAACGTCAATGTCCCCAGCTAATCTAAATTTCGAATGCGCAGTGCGTACAGCCTGCTGAAACAATTACTCTCTTGAAAATTATTACATTACATGAGGACCCGTAAATGGCATTCATATTTAACTTCACCTATCCAATTTACATGCTTTACCCAAATTAACGTATAATGTAGTTAATGCAGCAGTAATTTACCGATCCTAGCCGATATTATGAGTAGTTGAGAGATAGGTTTATTTATTTATTTGGGCAAACAAACAATAGTATAATGAGTATTCATATGAAATATTTATAACTAAACTTAACTAATATACTACCCACTACATTTTCCACAGATTACCTTATAAAATAATTCCATTGTTAGCAGACATGAGCTGCTGCCGCCGCAGTTAAATCAATAAGAAAAGCGGTTACTCAAAACAAAACGTTGGTAACTGAGATAAATGAAGTTTCACTTAAACCAACAAGACAATTCAAAATTAACTTTTATTGCCTACTGCCGATCCTTTAGTACCGCTATTATGTCTCTTTTAAATTTAATCCTACTAACATGTAATATATCGATTGCACTAAAATGCTTATTGTATGTGTCAACTAAACGGCAAATAGGCGAGGTAGGTTTAAACCTGATAAAAGAATGAAATAGTATTTGTTTGTGCTATGTGACTTGCTCTACACACATTGGCACACATAGTAGTGTGTAAGCTAGAGATAATTATATAATTTTGACTTCTTCTGTGTTTTGTTTTATATTGTTGACTTGTTTGTAACATAAATTAAGTCTAAGATAAACTGCTTCATTGAGTTCTCGCCTGCTCTTTCTTCTTGCCTTCGAGCGCCCGCCGCCCGCACCTCTCCCGGTCCCCAATCTCGCCTTACCTCCGCGCCCTTCTACCTCGCAAGCGAGGACTCAATTAACCAGTTTAACTATAGACCATATACCTTCCCGGCCTATGAGAGATGTATGAAAATATTATTCTCTTAATTTAAAAAAAATCAGATATTCCATCAATTCCTTGGTATCAAATAATTTTAATTATAATAGCTCTCGTCTTTACGAGACAGCGAACTTGTTAGAGCTTTAGTTTATTCAAGCAATCGGAATCGGTCGGTTCATTCATTTATTTATTGGGTCTACAGGTAATATTCACAGAAATATGACTGACATGTAAAATTATCTACACACATCCACGGTATCCTGTATAATGAATCTTAATCATTACCGATAACTAAAAAAGATGGGTTACACAATTAAAACTATTTCTTTCGTGTATTTGCAGCGAAAGTCTGGTGATATTCAGTGGTGGCCTGCCGACGGACAAGGCGGGCCGGACACACAGCATCACTGTGCTCAACGGCAAGAGCACCACGGTGCTAGAGATGGAGCACAGTGTGGTGGACTTTGTCACGCTCTGTGAGACGCCACACACTGCTGGTGAGATAACATATTGAATAGTGCTGTAACTACCTATCTGAGGTGTTGAGTAGAGATGCAATAAATACTCGATTTAGGTAGTTAACTAAAGTTTATTGTATCACACGACACATACATGAACTACACACAGAAAGGTTTAACCAGGCGGGCGGAGTCGGGTGCGCGTATAAATGCGTGCTCGCTATCGAGGCTTGTGCTGTCGCGTCTCTGCGTCCGCCTGGCTTAGTACAGAAAATGCTGACATAAAATAATAGCTTAGGGCTGTCGACACAATAGCATAGGGCTGTCGCCACAGTGCGTTAAGAAAACTTTCTTATGTAGTCTAAGTATTACCAAAACAGTCTTGTCTCATTTGAGAAAATAAAAACAACCAAACGATCCAGTACTACAGTACGATCTAGGAAGTGAGCCCTCTGTACTAAGGTCTAATAAATAAATTCACTTCTTGCTTACAGACTACCAAGAACCATACGCTATCGTAGTGCTGCTGCAGAACGACCTGGTGGTAATAGATCTGCAGTCGCCAGGATACCCGTGCTTCGAGAACCCTTACCCCATGGACATACACGAATCACCAGTCACGTGCTGCTCTTACTTCGCGGACTGTCCTTCAGACTTGGTCAGTATTCTCATTGTAATGACAACGTATTAGGTACTTTTACGTAAAAAAATGCCTTAGATACTACGGATAATATATTTATTATTCCAGATTCCAGCGTTTTACTCGGTGGGTCGTCAAGGTAACAAAAAGATAGCAGGCTTCAGCGACAGGTTGTGGCCAATTAACGGTGGTGAGTGGGAGCCCGCATCCTGCTCCTACAACGAAATTATTTTAACTGGGTACGACCACGATTAACTTGATTGCCAAGGCAATCTGAATCAATCACAAAAAGTTTCAGTTGATTAATAACTAACCTGTTATTGCGCTATATCTTTTCAGACATGCAGACGGTAGTGTAAAATTTTGGGATGCAAGTGCAGGAACTTTACAAATTTTGTACAAATTAAAATGTTCTAAAGGTAAGGCTCCCGTTTTCATAGCGAAAATTCCATCAGAACTTAATTTTTGGAATATAATCATTTATATGTTTTGTATCAGTGTTCGAACGTCGTGCGGGAGGTTCCTGTTACGATGAAGACAGTCCACTGGCGATTCAGCAAGTGGCGCTATGTGCAGAGTCTCGGCGCCTGAGTGTGGCGCTGCCACATGGACACGTCGTTCTGTTCAAGTTCCGGAAAAGTGAGACACACGGCGAGACACAGGTGAGTCCAATTCTAAAAAAATATTTTGTAACATCCTATGCGCGTCAACTAATGACAATCTTGTTTGATGTTTACTCGCAAGACTCGACTTTTCACAATTTCTAGTTACCCGTCCGGTCTATAGTATTGAATACTTTAGTTCTGTCCAGATTTAGCTGAGTACAGCACTCTTAAAACAAAAGCAGACAATTGAAGCCCTTTGAGTTTTTTCCCCTGTTTACATTACTGCTACAAGTTTTGAGGTTTTATCATTTCTCGCATATTGCATCTGTTACGTAGAAGCAAAACATTTTTAAAACTAATTATAAACAATAAGCATAGGTATATAAAGGGACGGACCATCATTCTAAGTTCAAAATAATTGGAATTGTCTACCGGAATATTAAACGTTTTATGCAATCAGCAGTCAAAGATTAATGTCGTTCCCCGCAGATATCGCACAAAAGTAATAACTATATTTGTATTCCGTGCAAATAGTCTACGCGCTTGTGACTCCTGAGTTGCAGGCGTTCATGGGCGGCGATAGTCGCTTTAAACATACTTAGTACTTTAAACATTTTTCTGTAAAACCAATAATTTTCTGTAAAAAATTTTTTTTGAAATAACTTAGAGAACCAAAAAAATGCCCGATTTTCGAACAATTTTGCAAAAGTATGACTCGTATCTCAGTACTTCCAAAGACTTCAGGATGTAACTATACGTATTGTTTTCTCGATTTAAAAAAAATAATCGGCTTGATGGCATCGACCACCGCTCTCGTTTCCCTGGGGCCGCGACTATAATATTGGCCCTCGTTAATAAAGAACGTCCTCTTTATAAATCATTTACTTATATTAACAAATGGTTATTGCAGGTTATAGAAATCCCGATGATAACAGACTCGTTAGAAGAAGAGGGATCTCCTGAAGCAGAAGGTGGACGATCCATGTCGTTTAGTCGTGCCGGCGACGCCGGAGAGGCGGAAAGCAGAAGGGTAAAACCTGGTTTCTTTGATGCTAACTCCTAATATGAACGGAGGAACTCCTTCAATAGCTCCTTTCTGGAGATGTCGATCTGAATTTATTAAGAATTCATAAACAGTTAAAACATATCAGAAGTATGCAGTTTAATCTGGTAATTATGTTGGCACGACATTGACAGAAATAACATTCCTTTTGCATTTATTCGTGTTTTGTTATATAGTCTGGAGTCTGGTCCGGTTGTGGGACTGGGAGTGGGGTTTCATTACGAGTTCGTGGAGCAGACGGGACGGGGGGAGTTAGGAGAGCGGCAGGGTTCCAGCCTGCGCTGGTCGCGTTACAGCAAGGAGCACCGCATCCCATTACCACGCTTACAATCAACTCCTCGTACGGCCTGTTAGTACCATTTATAACTGACACTTCTTGGCTATATTTTAAGTTTAAATTAGATGGTTTGCCTTTATAATTTTAAACTTATATTCTTGTTCATAACTTTTTGCTGGTATTCTAAGAGTAAGTAACCTCTAAGTTTAATATATCATGTCTCAAACTGTATCACTAACAAAAGAATTTCTTATATTTGCTGTTGTTGTCCTGGTTTCATTGAAACTCTGAGCGTTTTCACTTCACTCCTGAATCCGTACTGGATTTTTGTTGATATATCATAGAATGGCATGGGGAGGAGAACGAGGCGTGGTAGTGGTAGACATTTCTCGAAGAGTTCTGGTAGCGGCCTTGGCGGCGAGCTCTCTGTACCACCCGCCGGACACGTGGCCCCACGCCAAGCACCAACGCCACAACGACCGGCAGCGTTCGCCCAGCCTCGACCAGGTACACCGCTGTCCTCCGCTATACACAGGAGTATACACACACGCAAACACACACACACACAACATATACATCCAGTTCAAATAACAAAAACATTTACACTGACACATACTTTTGGACTTTTATATTCAGTGATTCTATTTTTTTTACAAAGATTAAGGAAATAATTGTCAATAAGAAATATTGATTTAAGAAGCCAAATATTTCAAAGTAATGTCGACAATTTGAATTGAAAAAACCAAAACCGCGAATACAATAAAGAATGCACAGAAATATAGAAGATTACACAGCAGTATGAAGTTACCGTAGTGTTGCCAACACGAACACAATGTTTGGATGTCGCCTACCGGAGGAGACGCCACAAGCGAAGTACGGTTTACTTCACATTATATATGATTTGCACTTTTGTTTATTTAGTCTGAGTTGCTGGCGGCGACACCCGCCGTACCCCTGATACTTATTTTATTTTGTCTTTATTTTATTATTATTTAAATGATTTAGCAGTAGCGCCGATCCTGGCTTGTCCCGTAGCGACATCTTGGCATGGCATCGTTAGACATTCTTTACACTCGGCCTGTCTTTCTCTTACTCCTATCGCCTACATCCTTACTTACATAGATTCCCGTAAATGGAATTTGCGCGTATGACACACATCAGTAGGAAAGCTCGATCGCTCCTCACTTCGAGCCAGTGTTCGGTTTCACGTCACTTTTCTTTTTACGTCACATCCGTACCAGTAGCGATTATCACAGCTCACGGCACCTACCGACCCGCACGGTACGCTCCCGAGCCGGTCCCGGCGGGCGCTATACTTCATCATTATATTTTTTCTCATCGCGGTGAAAGCTGGAGGAGACGGCCCACACCCGAGGCCCTTCGCCGACCAGCCCCGCCGAGCCGGCCGCGCCCGACGAGCCCGCGCCGCCAGACGATCGGACCAAACCTGACGCCAGACGGAAGTCTACTTCCTGGAAGACGTTCAATCTCAAGCGGCAGCTCTCCAAGGTCGATCTCAAATTCAAGGCGGCCTTTGCGGCCCCCTCTGAAAACAACCTCGAGGAGGTGGCGCCCGAAAGAGGGAATTCTCAATTTTACTGCGAGGCACCCGAGCGAACCGAACCAACCGCAGAGCCCGGTACCGACTCACCGGACAGCGACGAGACCAAGGTCGAGGGTGAGGAGGAATCCGACACGGGGGGCGAGCGCAGTCAAGGGGCATCGCCGCTCAGGGTTTGCTCTGACGTGTTCGAAAGAATGCACCGGGAGTTACAGGAGAAACGCGGCAGCGACGTATACGACCGCATGCACCGCGAACTGCAGGAGCGCTGGCACGCGCAGGAGGCGGGCGAGGGTGGAGGCGCGGGGGAGGGCGGGGCTCCGGCGCGGCCTGACTCGCTGCCGCTGGAGGCGCCCACGCGGCCGCCCAGGACCCGGGGCGGGGCCGGGAGCGGGGGCGCCGTGGGGCCCGCTGGCAAGCGCGAGGAGCGGCTGCTGTCGGTGCCGAACATCAAGTACCGGGCCGAGGCCCGGCGGCGCGGCGGCGCGGCGCCGGCGGGCTCGCTGGCGGGCTCTCTGATGCGGCGCTTCAGTAAGTATTTGTCACGCGCGCCACTCATTTCACGCTCATGACGCCGGGTCTCACGGGTCCGTAGCCTAGCTCGTTACTCGCTGTTGACTAGAGTAGTGCGTCGCTCCTACGACTGGAATGGTAATGGTTTGCGATTTTTTATCATTACTGGTACAGTAGCCCCTTTTCGATTCGGGAAATAGATTTTTGACTAGTTAGAGGTGATGGTAGTTAGATTTTAAAATTGTACTAAAACTGCATTCGTAAGGTATCGTCGACGCCCAGCGATGGAGCTCGGCGCGGAGGGGCGAGTTGCGACTTAACATGCTTTGTGCTTCTTGTGATATTTGGCTTTTTACTTGATTTTGTTTATTAACTTTGTATATTATAAGACTATGTAATATATGTAAGTACGTATATGGGCCACTGCCACAGTGGCCGCACGGTGTATCGTGCTGTTCCCCGCACCACTGTGTAACACCGCACCGGTGATTGATGTGTACATTTCTTTTTATTCCAAGGAAAAGGACTCCTCCGACGAAGACTCTAACTGCCTTAAATATCTGTTCGCCGACTTCCTCGGTAATTGAACGAAGTAATTAATACCTAGTTAAATTGCATCAGTACCTAGGTGATCTCTGTGTTGTGTCGAGATGATGTTCCGCTAATGTTCTGAGTAGTCGGACGATAGCCTGCACTGCTTGTAGTTTCACTGAGACTCAGTGTAGCGCTAGGCTCCGACGGTATATGCCCGCAATGTTCCCAGGAGAGTTAGTAGAGCGAACGTGCTGTAGGCGCGAACCCGCGCGCGACGACACGGCGCCGCAGCGACTCGCCGCGCCTCGAGGTACGTGTCACGACACCGACCGACACGACACGTGACTAACGCGAGCCGCGATCACTAACATGACTGTATGTGGCACAGAGATCACGCTCAACTAATATTCGTGTCGATAACGGAAACGGCTTTCGGGGTCTTCTAGTGTGTAGTCGTGTATAAAACGGTGAAGGTCCGGGATCGTCGCCCTCCACTCCTCCCGGAGGAGTAGAATTCCCTCGCCACTGCGGGCGGCGGGTGCGGCGCGGTGTGGTGGGGCTGGGCGCATGTGTTGTGTTGTAGATGAACGGGCCGGGCGGAGCGGCGGGCGGCGCGGCGGCAGGCGCGGGCGGCGCGGCGGCCGGAGCGCCCGGCGCGGCGGGGGGCGGCGCGGGGGGCGGCCCGGGGGGCGGCGCGGGGGGCGGCGCGGGGGCGGCGGCGGCGAGCTGCGCGCGCGCGGTGCGCCGCTCGCGCTCGCAAGGTACCCGCAAACTGCACAAGTGCCTGTCCACCGCGTCCGACGTGTACGCCGCGCCCCCCGCCCCGCAACACTCGCTACTGACGACGCGCCAGTATTGCAGTTTTGGTAGTACAGTCACCTTGTAACTCACGGCCTCGTCTCCTTCCGCTCTGAGGCAGTCGCAGTTTCTTCCTCGATTTTGTTGGTTTTCGTTCGGTTCGTTTCCGTTCTGTCGGCCCGGGCGCGGCTTGACGCGGCGCGTGCGCATGCCGAGCTTGAGTCGCCGCCGCTTGCGTCTGTCGGTCGCCGCGCTTCCTAAATGTTAACGTCGTATGGATATATTGGACGCGCGCCGTCGTCAAGCTCGCTCAGATCCGGTGCCGTTTTCTTTCTTTTTTTTTTATTTTATTTTATAAAGTTACTTTTGGTTCAACCACACTCACTTATTTACTTCTTTCCATTACTGAATACTCAACATGTGAATTTGTGAATTTGAAGATATCGCATCACTACCGGCTAGTAGGTACTCGTATTTCTTTGATTGTCGCATAAATTTTAATATTCATAATGTCACATCACATTTGACAGTACTGTACCGAGAAATCTGTAATTACCATTACAGATAAAATATATCTTCGGATCCACATCGATAGTGTTAAGCTATTGCTCTCGTAACGTCGAGTTGATTTGTTCGAATGGATGAGTTTGATATGCATCGTAATGTGCGCAATTGGCTATGAGAGAACACGATTGGCTGAGCACTGACAGCACGCGCGCGTGCGCTCTGTAGACGCTCACTCGAACCTTCATCATGTATTGGGCCCTTTTAGTTGTCGATCTGAGCATGTCCTGTGTTACTTCCATATTATTTATTTAAATATTTTCCACTTTCAGATCGGAATCATTTAATAGGTAATCATTGGAATATTCCTCATATATTTTAGTTATACTTCTGTTTTTCTAATCGTTACATCCTAGTAGTTTCCCTCGTCGTCATTGGCAAGCTCTGACCTAGAATGAGATCGTGATGTTCTGATGTTCTATATGGTGTACGATGTATGTTCCTGTCGACTCGAGAGGAAACTCTCGCTGTACACCCTCACTGTGACCCTGTACTTGTATGAACGGAGCGCGGCCTCGCGCACCCTCGCCGCCCTGGGCCCATACCTGGCGCCCCTGTGCACCTGGCGCCCTGTGCACCTGGTGCACCTGGTACACGCGCGACATATATCGCACTGGCGGCGCGGGGACGCGAGTCGCGCGGCCTCACGAGCGTGCTTGTAACACATTATGGTTTTATTTGTCCGTGCAGAACCCACGGTTCCGCAGGCATCTATGGACTACTTACACGTAATGCAACCCAACGGTATATAAAGAACATTTGCATCGTTATATTTTATTTCTCTTATCTTATTTCGTATGTGTATGATTTCTGCTTGGGCAGCATTCGTAGCTGTTCCGTTAGAGAACGTGGCTGTGACTGTCTTGTTGTCTCACTCGCACTCTCTGGACTGCGCACACTCTCGGTGCTCGACTCGCATGACATAGTACGAACTGCTAAAAGGTGACTTACTACTCAAAACTATTTACCTCTCACTGATTACTGCTGCGATGTACGACTCTTGTACCTACGTACTATATATATATGTTTATGTGCCTACCTATGTACCTATGTATACGTAAGCGACGCTTTCCTTATCGTCACTATTGTATTGTACCGACTCGATCTGTTTGCCATTATCTTTTATCTCTATTTTCTTATACCGATATTTTATATTAGTCACGAGCGTTCACGTTATCTGTTTATTTGCCTTCGCGTGCAACTTGTGCAAAATGTTCGCTCTATTGTCTCGATTCACTCGCCCGACTCGAACCCGGCGCCTCGCGGTGTCGGGCCCGAGTCCGCCTAGACCTTACCTCTACTTCGTACCTTCTACTTAACGCTGTCGAGTTCATGAATGTTATTTCTTTTCTAGCTCGACCGCAAAGCAAAAAGTTTATATGGCTCGTTTTTGGCTGCCTCTATATACGGCTGTCATTGTGTCTATGTATGCTTACGGTATTCTCCTAAATAAAAGTGCGTAGTTGCATGCGGCATCTGCGTCTCAGAGCACCCGCATCCCTAGCGGCCATGTTGTTTGCCCCCAAACCCACCACGCCTACATCTCGCCTTCAGATCTACCCCCCGCCTGCCGACCTGGTGACCATCCTCACTTCATCTCATCTCATCGGTTCTGTTTGCTGTGTAAATTAGATTCACCAAACTAACCAGGTGCTTGTCATTCGGTGTGTTGCATTTAGAGCTGTTTATAAATGTGCTCGTTAAGCTAAGATAACAATAAGTGGTGAGCCGACGGGTGTTTTGGCCGTCCCGGGGCCGTCATGTAACGCTTCGTGTGTCGGATCCAAACACAAAATATCCCGCAACTAACAAAGTCCGAACATGATATACAACAAGTTGTGCAAATAAGCTGAGATCGAACGGGCATGCATTAACCTCCTCTCTCCGCATGGTTCCTCTTGTTCTTTGTAACTTTGTACTTACGTTTGGAGCACCTCGCTGTGGCACCTACTATTTCAGCTAATTTCACAACAGCACTAACACAGCCCGTGAGCTAAGCGCTAGCTTCAGTCTGCAACTGCATCCACTACGTAGACTAGTTCACGATGCGCTGGTGGTGCGGGCAACTCTCACTACTCTTTAATGAATTTTAGTAATCCTGTGTGTAACCAAAATGTGTGATCGTATGTCGCCTTGGTCATATGTATTGTTTGTCCGCGATAAACACTTCTATATGTGGGGTACACTCGACAAAATACACACGCATTATTCTGCTTCTTCTCCTGAGCCTTATTATTTAAGAATAAGTTTTTAGCCAGATTTGTCAGACTTCATGTAGTCTTATTTTATTAAAATACCTTAGTTTAAGGTAAAAAACGATGTCATATTTTCCGAAATGAGTTAACCTTTTAAAACTCCTTCCTAAAAGGCCGGCAACGCATTTGTGGCTTCTGACTTGAAGGCGTTCATGGGCAGCGGTAGTCACTTTCCATCAGGTGACCCGTCTGCTAGTCTGTCCCCTCTTCCATAAAAAAAAACTGAAATTGACACCAAGTCTTTTCTCTTGGGTTGCAAACCTTTTCATGAAAAAAAACTCATCAACATCACATAAGAGCACTTCAATTAAACAAGTAACAATCGAATCTTAACGAAACAATAAAGCGTTATAAATTGACTAATCTCAAACATTAGTGAGTGTGCCCTACATTTTGTAATTATATTGCAAACATAATTTGTTTTAAAAAAGATTCTTACTTAGATTCGAAAACGGACAAGCTGCCGCAGAGTACACGCTGAGTATACATACGTGTGATTTGTTAACACGGTCACATGTTTCTGTTACCGTTGTATATACCTAAATCATTAGTTAATATCTGTAGAGTAGCCATAAACAGTAAGTAGGCCAGGCCGCGGTCAGCGCACGTCGCCAGGCGCGCGCTGCCCGCGGGCTGGGCGGTAAGCGCGCGGAGGGTGTAATCCGAGTGTGTGTATGTTGCCAACCGGCCGGGTAGACAAGCTGGACACCTCGTTCTCGCGCTCCCGATCCAGCTCCATGTCCAGTCTGGAGAACATGTCGCAGGAGGGCATCCAGTGCCTTGCGTTTGCAGACAGCTACACTAAGAAATCTGGTGAGTTTCTGACACTTGACTGTTCATTTATTAAATTTACAAATAATATTTGACGTGAAATTTAAAAGAGATTTCGGCTTTATTTGTAATAATATAAAAATTATAATTTTGGCACTTTTTCACCGTGAACCACGACGTCATTCAACTTGAATTATTAGTTCTAAAATGTCAAAAGTTATTTTGGGTGCTATTGGATGGTTTAAAAGACGTAACTTCACGATATAAATAACATATCTGTCAAACAATGTGTTCAGATCCGACGACGTTGCTACCAACGCTGTGGATTGGCACTACACAGGGTTCGGTGCTCACTATGATGATCAACCTGCCGGAGACAGACCTCAGGCACACGCAGCCAGTAGTCATCTCCACAAGCGGCAAGTATATAGATATATCTTTAACAGAAACGTCTTGGGTGTCCATATGAAGAGCTGGCTGCAATCGATTAGCACCACGTCCAGACGTAGACGATATCTATACTTAGATTTGTTTACAATCGTGCATTGTATTTTTTCAGGTGGTCCTATATTTAGGTTAAAGGGTTCAATCCTAACGATGTCGTTTCTCGACTGCAATGGTGCTTTAATTCCTTACTCGTACGAGAGTTGGAAAGATGATAGTAGTAAAGATGTAAGTAAATATTATTTCCTCTTGACAATATTTATTATCTTCTCAGAACTCTGCTTAATGATAACCCTGGTGTTTTAGGTGAGAGAACGTCGAGAGCGAACTCCCACTAAACAGAGCTCTTCCAGCTCAGGCAGCCGAATGTCCCCGACGCCTGGGGTCGATGCGGCTGGTGACCGCCAGTTCGTGGTTGTCGCTTCAGAGAAGCAGGCGCGTGTGGTCGCTTTGCCAAGTCAGAACTGTGTCTACAGGCAACAGATTGTGGAAACGGACTTTGTAGTAAAAGCGGAAACTGTAAGCTTGAAAGGTAAACTAATCCCTTTTGTCTAGGTGCCCGTAAAATACGCGGTTGCGCTCCAATGCTTTCGTTGATCCCAAACCTCTTATCGTAAATTTTCAGATAGCGTATGTCTGGTAAACTATTTATCGACGGGCCACCTGGTGGCGTACAGCCTGCCCTCACTGCGGCCGCTGGTCGACGTAGACTTCCTGCCGCTCTCCGAGCTCAGGTGAGGCCGACCCACGACGCTTGTCGCATTCAAACGACACATGCCACTCGCCGCCCCAAGGCACTCGTGTCCCCTGGGGCGGCGAAGGCCCGCGCCGCGAGCTCCCGCACTAACGACTAACCGGTGACACGTATATCACTCTTAGAACGTTTTCTCTGCACCGACCGAAGGCACTAAATGATAAACGGCTTGTTTTACATACATAGTACTTTTTGTCATTAGCTTCGCAGTTTTATATCATGTTGAGAATGCTATTTTGGGCAAAGATTTTACATTTTTACGAATCGCATTCATTACAATCATCAGAGGTTTTAGTTGTTGATCATTCGCTATTTTATCATTTGGGAGCCTCGCGACAGACTTCCTGTACAGTATCGATCGATGTTAGAAACGTAGACTCGTTCGGTGCAAGACGAGCCGCCGGCTCCCGCGGCCCACGCCGCGGCCCCGTGTTGCACCAGATGAGGACGGTGTCATCTTCTAAGTATTGAGACGTGTACGTCACACCGCTACTAGACAAAGTCGCGCTCTTTCTCATCACGAAGTAGACAAAATTGTTGCAAAACTCTCGAGCACCACCTGTGCTTCCGATATTTGGCACTCTTTCTATTTTTCAGTTTAAATAATAGGATCGGACACCGCCCCGAACACGACACACGCTAGCTCCGTACGATCCGACAACTCTTGCGAGAGAACACCGTTCCACTCACTAACAACTGATCTGTTTATTTGGGTGCAACACACATGAATGTGATGTAAATACACACTGCCCCGACACTGACCGGACCGACACGGAATGAGCCCCGCGCCCCCGCGCCCCGCGCCCCGCGCTAGTGCAGCCCCACATGTTATGATAGTGTGTCCTGCATCACTCTCTTACATCTGTCTAACTTTTCACCCTTAGAACGATGATGGATTAACGATCGGCGCGTCCCTTGTCTTTGTCACTCATGAGGCGCTCCCGGTTTGTCGATTATCTTGACATGAGCATAACCTTCTTTTAACAGTGTCGCTTTGTACATTTTTGAGGCTCGTTTAGAGTACAAAGCGGGAGCGCCTCACAAAGGCTCGGAACGCGCCGGAGCGAGTCACGCGCTGACTGGTGTCTGTATTCCTGGTAGCTTCCAGACACAGTCCAAACAGAGGGGTATCGTAGACCCAATGCTGTCCATATGGGGCCAGCAGCTCATTGTTAACGAGGACACCGACCAGTAAGTCGCCGTCCAGATGACTTGCGTTAGCCACGTACCGTCACTTGTCATGTGGAGTCGCTCACTCCAGCCTCTGTTGCGTACCTATAGAGATGTTCATGTAACGTTGCCCAAACGCTTCGTACCCAATCATCCCCTAGCCCGCTCGCGCCCTACACCCACGACCCTGGTATGTTCATTGACGTTTCCACTCGCCCAGGGGCAAATCATTAAGCGCTCCCTATCAATACCATTATAAGGGGTTGTCAAATATGTAATTGACAAAGCTGTTAGATATAATTGGGCCTAAATTTACTTTATTAATAATTTCTGTCGAATGCTTCAATATTTATTTGTACTTAATTTGCATTAGCCATGGTTGTTGCCCCGGATGCTAGGTGACAAAATTTTCAAATAATACGGAGCTGCGAATGGTGTTAAATGATTTGCCCACGGACTGTGCCTGCCCTCGCTTCGTTAGTCCGTGCGATGTGACACTTATCACGTGTACCGTGACACACACCCACACACGTACAGTGACGAGCACCCACACACCCACATCGTTATCAAATCTCTACGACATGTCCTACTTCCTCGCTGGGCTGTTACTTTGCGCTGTTCAATATTTCTCGTTTCTTCTCGCTTGAAGCATGCTGCTTCTGAATGTTTCTTTTATCTCATATGAATGTGTCCTATTTAGTCGCAATTAGTATCTGTTAGTTAGCTTACATATATTTTAGACTAAAATTTGTCCAATAGACTCCAACGGCAGGACTCCAGGATAACAGGTGAGACGTTTCAATTGAATAGAACAAACCTATCCCCCGTTTTCTGATCTTCGATCTTGGAACCTTCGACAGTCTCTTTTATACTTTCTTCTTGGCCTATGACATACAACGCAACATAAATACAATAATATGTAGTATCAAGTCATGTAGTATTGTGTGTATAGCGTCGTGTGTGTGACGGTATTGCAGGATATCCAAGACCTTCTGCTTCAGCAACAGGGGCCATGGATTGTACCTGGCCTCGCCCACAGAGATACAGAAGTTCACCGTCGACACCGAGTTCTGGTCAGTACTCGTAACACTATAAAATATATATTTACATGTAGGTATATTCTTTGATATTTTATCAATAACTGCTGATGTTTGTACAATGAGAGAGTCTAGACTAATAATATGTTTTACAATACCCGAACTCTTTAAAGTCAGATGAGATGTTTTCCAAAAATAACAACTACGTCTGTTCTAATAAACTTGAAAAATTTTCATTTCACGTTTTCTATTTTATCTCAATCGGCTTTTCAGTCAGCAATTGAACGAGATGATAGGTGAGCTTTTCCTACCGCGGGACATGCCGGAACCGCCCAAGGAGAGCTTCTTCAGGGGACTCTTCGGAGGAGGCTCCCGGCCGCTCGACAGAGAAGAATTATGTGAGTATGCACAACTACCCCGTGATCATAATAGAGCCCTTCCAAACTATAGGATTCGTATGAACAATGTAGAACGTAAAAGTGAATGGCGATCTTTATTTTTGGATTTTCAAAATACGGCCGGTGATCGTTCATACGCGCTTAACAAAAAGGAGAGCCTGGTTTAGTCTGGCTTTAGTCTAGGAAAGATTATCGAACTAGCGACAAAACATGGATAAGATAAAAGTTATAAAGCGAGGTAAGTACATGTGTTATATGTGTATGCTGTTACAGTCGGCGAGAGCAGCGGCAAGCCGAGCCGCGCCGTGGCCAAGCACATCCCCGGCGGCAGCGCGGCGCAGCTGGAGCAGCTCAACACGCGCGCCGGCACCGCCGCCGGGGAGGTGTCGCGCGCGCACCAGCTCGTCGTGGAGCGCGGAGACAAGCTGTCGCATCTCGAGGACCGCACCGAGCGTATGCACATGCAGGCGGCCGAGTTCTCCTCCTCGGCGCATCAGATCATGCTCAAGTACAAGGACAAGAAGTGGTACCAGCTGTGAACCCGCGACTCGACCGCCCCACGCGTAGCGAGGACCCGCTCACCTGGCCGACGTTTCGGTTGACGAATGGAAGGCTCGAGTTGCGGGCGAAACGGATAACGGAAAGTTAAGTCGCCGTGAAACATCTGATCGCTCCTCGAAGTTAGGTCGACTTCGGAGACGTTTCGTTTTTCGCGGTCGGAGGTCGACTCGCTTTCTCCCAGCGCTAGGGACGAGTCCCGTGAATGTTCGGCCGCGCCCGCTAGAGCTTAGCTACGTAGTCTTAAGAACCTCAACTTCCTTCCTAGGCGTGGCTCGATATGAATAAACGCACAAATCGATACTCTTTCGAAATAATCGTTTTCGATCAGTAGTGTCCCGCTTTTCGACTACACGCTGAATCGTTCAATTATTTGTGTGCCTATCGTGATGGGCGGTTGTCGACAGAAGTCGCGCTTCCATCTCTGATGACGTCAAGGCGACGGTCGTTTGCATCCCCCCTCCCCTCCCTCTGTACATACGCCGCTCGCTCCGCAGTCGTTCAGGCGATGTGATAATGTAAATATGTACGACATAATTTACTTAACTCTTTTGATACAATGTTACTTACGGACGATGTTGGCCTCCTGTGTCCTTAGTTGCGAACATTTTGTTGTAAATACGCACAACTGACAGCACCTTCTCCATGACGCAAGCTTTCATGTACTCTATAAGGGTAAGTAACACACGTAAAGTGTAAGTCAACGAACGCCGTGCGCATGTGTGGCGATGGTGGGTCAGTCCCGTGTATCGCATCTGTACTATGTATCGTTAGCGCGATGGGCTCCGTTTGAGTTACAGACAAATAAATACTTACTGTTATTTTAATACACGCGTAACGCGTGAGATTATTTCAATGTTGCTATTTCAATACATGTAGATGTACATTTTATAGATACAAATGAACTTTAATATAATATTTAAGAATAATGGACGATGTCGATCTGTATAAAGTGTTAAGTAAATAAATATAAAGAAAAGTAATATACTATAAAGATTGGAAATTTAAGCATTGGATGACAATAATTTTTGTTACTTCTCACTGGAGATTCCTTTGACACTTTACGTGTAGTTTAGTTTCTCTTCAAGTTTTCCCCTTTTGTGTTACTGCTGTGCGTTTAGTTGCCTTCTCTTTGCTGACGTCACAGGCGTGTTTGGCTCTCGAAATTATCATTTTTATCAACTACTTTTAATATCTTTGTCCGAGGCTCTCGGTCGACGGACGCTGCGTTTAGTTATTACAACTGCTATTCTAACTCTTTGTATAAGTATGACGCAATGTAAGCAATACTATGTGTGGGTTGCAAGCCTAAATAAACCAGACCAATCGGTGTCGTGTCGGTGTTGCTAGCTAAATTAAACAAAAAAAGCTAAAACTATTTTAAATATAAACTAATGGATAAAGCTCCTTGTATATCGCTATAATGAATAAGAGGCGGCGAGGAACTCGCTCTGGTTTTCCATTGTATAAAATATAACATAACATTATAAATTATACTTTACTCAAATTGGATTGATAATGAGGTTTTTATCTGTCTGAATATAATGTGTAAGAGTCATGGATGTCAAGCGCCATGGCATCGGATGCCGGGGCGAGTTTCATCCCCATGTATACCTAAGTAGTGTAGAGGGTATCGGTGTATCGCATGGCAATAAAAGTTTTCTACGTCGTCACTGCGTCTGACTCTCCGTTACTTTGCTCCTTTGTGTCTGTTACACGGTTACAGTGTTTCGAACCATCCGGCGGTTATTGTATGTTTATGTCCAGTGTCATTCATCGCCTCACTTAGCTTCAAAGCGTTATACTGTAGACATGCCAGTTCGGTTAATTGATTCTTCGTTAGCGAGTACTACACGGTATCGGATGCCAAACTTTGTATGTTCTCATGCTGTGTTATATTTAATATTATAAATGTTACGTAATTTGTTATTATATTCTAACGAGTTTACGTAGTTCTGTTGTAAAGCTATATGACAATTAGTATTAATATTATAAATATATGACTTGTGCTGTTCCAATAAAATATCACGTTTTAACCAGATTATTTTGTTACGTAGTCACTGACCGTTTTTATTAGACAAGTATTTTCGTAGCGTTGTTTACCGAGTTTATAGTTCGATCAGTGCGAATTTTAACACTAATATTACGTTAGTTTTGTGGAGATCAGCTTGCACACACACGTGCTATATCCGAGGTCGCATATCAGTGGAATATATCAACCCGTGTACCAATATCGCGAGGATCTGCCGTATTGTAAGATCATATAGTTTTTGAGAGGCCGCTTACACTACGTTTTCTACGTAAGCCCCTAATATAAGTCAAATTTTCATTTTAAAGTCGTTAAGAAGTATTTGTTGTAAGGATCCGAAGTATTATTTCACTGCATCGCATTATCCGTGCATAGATTCATCACTCTATATAGGTGTCGTTAGCCACTTTTTACGTGTATGTAATAATTTGCGTAGAAATTATTTTGTCGAGATTAGATTTGATTATATTATTTGTACAAGTATAGTGCAGTCCCTTCGTGCCCGGCGTCACGCCGAGCCTTCGCCATGTGTCTAGTCTGTTGCCGATGTCACTAAACGTTACTCCCGTACCTCGTGCTGCGTGCAATATTCGATAACTCGTACTCTATGTAATATAAATGATGGTTAAGTTTTGTCGATTCTATTAATTGTTACTTATAGTTGAAGTACGCCACGTTGCGAGTTAAGTAGTACGAAGGTCGGTCGCGCCAGCGCCGCCTGCTGGCCGCGGCGCGAATCTGTTCCATTACAAACGCTATTCATTTGGAAATTATGGGACTAAATTATAAATATAAGTATTTGTAAATAAATAAACAATCTTGTGGCAAATTATGACTTGTTATGTGTAACGACGAAGTAGGGTTTGTTTCTGTATTGTTTTGTATGATTAGACGAATGTCTCTTTTCTAATCGTTCAGGAACGAGGGTTCTAAGGAACGATACTACCTATACATATTGTATATAAAGGATGCTGTTGAATTATATTGATTATTTAGTTTGGTAGATGATTATTATAGTCATTATATATAAATAAACTATAAAAATATGAAAATAAAATTATATCAAAGCACCTGGTGTTTTATTTATATCTTACATGTATATAATGAAGCTGAAATGTTATTAAAGCGCTGGTCTCATATAATCTGCCAGATTTGTGTAATGAGTTTCTTATTACATAAATTATGTAATGTATTTAGTTATCCAGATCGCTGAACAGCTAGAGATGCCAATAAGTGTCGCACTCCACCAAGCGACTGATCGCAACCGATGGAGACAGATGGTTGACAGGATGAAAGGGAGTCACGATCCTCAGCAGTGAGGGAACGATTAGGAAGAACATTTAAATCGTAAAGACTAAGCGCCTTGTAAAAAGTTTGCGCGCTAGGGTAGTGTTCCATCTCCTTTACTCTACGTAATCACTGGTCGTCAATAAAGATGTAACCAAAATGAAGTAGGAAGGAATCTGAGGGACTCGGAACAAACCCTTTTAATACTCAGTTCATTTTGTTGGCTAATAAAACCAGGCTGAAGTCTTTAAATGCATAATTAGAAAAGAAACAAATTCTTATATCCTTTTAATGTTACTTCTTTACATTGTTATAGATTCATACATAACGGTTCGCTGAAAACACCTGCTGTCCACCGATAATACCTTTCCTCAATGGTCCCTTGAATGAAATAATCGTTGTAGGTTCCACTATGTATGACATCCTTTTTTACCTTAGCTGTACCTACATGGGCATGGAATGGTATTATCGGCGGACAGTAGGTACATAGGTGAGTTGTAGAACTGACTTCGGATGAAGAATGTTTTCGCTGAACCCTTTATCGGTAACTATAATTTGTAGAATCGACCGTCGCCACACGGACATGACAGTTATATCATATTTGATAATTTAGTATGACATTTTATTTTTAGTTTTGCATTCCTTTTGGTCGAGTGTGGTATAGAACAAGAAAATGTTGATTTTATATCTAATTTGTACATATTGACAAAACAAAAACGATTTTGCTTTAGACCACACGACTGAAGTAAAACTTCTTGGCTCTGAGAGAATGAGAGAAAGAAAATGTGTGCTCGCATTTCTCTCTCTTGCCCCTACAGTAATATACGAAACGTAACTCTCTTTCTTTCTATCTTCACTAACTTATATCTCCCTCAACTTCCGTTCGCCTCGTCCGATCACACTTTTCGTAACGCTCTCGTCACGCATTCATCAGCTTACAACTCAAGTCAAGCGTTTTACTTCAAACATGTGTACATTTACAAAATCTGGTTCAAACTAGACAGCATTATACAATAGGAAAGCATTATCACCTGAGATCGCCTGTCATGTTACTGTACAATTAAAACAACAAGTGTATTGAGCAACTTTTTTAATAAAACTTTAACTATGATATAAATACAATAGAATACATTAGGAGCATAATTTATTACGGGCACGGCGCGGGACGAGGGAGAGGGGGGGGGAGGGGGAGGTGTCGCGCCCGGAAGGCACAGTTCTCGATAAGCGGCGCACTGTCGCTGCGACGGTCGCGATATTACAAGTGAGGTGAAACAGGAGCCATCTGTAGCCCCGTCACTATCAAAACCAGCGTTGCGCTCCGTTCACGCGAGTGAACAAGCGAAGCCGCGCATCATATCTACCAGCTGTTCACGGGCGGTTCTGCCACGACGCCGTATAGCGCGTGTTCACCCTTTACGTCTTACGATTAGTGCATAATGCTCAAGTATTAGGAAAGCGGCGCCGATGCCCAGAGATGTCTCTCGTCCGCGCGGTTAGCGGTTAACTTCTATTGTAACACCGAGGACGGTCGCGTAACTGAAGGTCGGAGGACTCGTTATCACAAACCTGTACATTGTATAAATCGTTGGAGTGCCGTGAAGCGAACTGACACGAGCAGTCACGCGATCACATGTGGCTATCACACTCGCCATACAAAACACTAATATTTCGCTACAGAACTTCACTAATAATACAAAACTTTTGTTATAAAGTTATATTTAGCTCGGCTAGTGAGTCACGGCGTTCCGTGAGGCGGTTTCATAAGCTTTACGCACGTTTAGCGATAACCACATGCATGACATAAATCATAATTACATTAAATAACGTGTAATTACTGACTTTACAAATGAATTTGTCAGAATAATCCGAATAAAAAATGTGAGCAAGCTCCTTTATGCACCGGCCATCGCACCGCCATCACACACCAGACGACAGAAACACAATAAGGTACGAATGTTTTACGTTCAATCGTTCACAATAAACAAATAGTTATGAAATGTAACCAAGATTGGAACTCGCTGTAGTCACCTACGGCTTACGCTAGTTTAAATATAAAATTTGACAAGACCCAAAGGCAACTAATTGCACTAATACAATGTTTACGTCTCTCACAGCTTTAAATTCTAATCACTATAATACTAATGAGTTAGGAAGACGATCGCACCATACATACACACGTATGTGTAGTAGGCTAGTAAAATAAACTGTAATAAATCATAATTTTATAAGTTTTCTCCGAATTTTTGGTAAAATGTAAGCGAATTTCCACTTTTTCTGCAATTGCATGGTGCAAAATGCCTTCGTCCGCGGCTGCAAGACCACCGAGGTTCATCGCAAAAACATGATTGCTCCGATAATGACTGGTTCAAGATATGATAGGAATTATATCGCTCGTTTACTAGAAAAGTGACAGAACTCCAAGGGGAAAGAAAATATAATATATGGTGGAGATTTTTTTTACCACAATCACAGCGAACACAAAGTAAGGCTATGTCGCAACTACGCTACGTGCAAACATTTCTTCGAATTTCATTGGCATGATTTTATTCATTTTCGTGCAATTTTATACCGATGACATTTATAAAATCTTTTTCTTTGCATCACATAAAGGAAAAATTACAACACCCAAACGTAAGGCCTAGTTTTCACATAAACGGAGACGAAACGTGAGACCTCCGCTTTGCACATTAAGAGCGCTCTGCACCACTTTGGTGAAAATATACCGTCTGCTATTCCGCTCGTCTCCGCACGTAACGTTTCATCTCCGCGTTGGTGGAAAACGGGCTTGATTGACCGCTGCTGAATGAGCCCAAAATGTTCTGAATACCCTTGGAACACTCGGGGTATGCCACTTATCTAGCAAATGAGCGACGTATGTCGAAGAGCGAAGAGCTCTTCTGCGATCGTCTTCCTAAATCAATTCACGAAGGTCAACAGCGACCAAGGCCGTGGCCACGCGCTCGTTCATCGCCTCAGACATCAGCGAGACGTTTATAGTAAAATTTAAATCGAAGACAACAAGAATAATGAATCTACTCGCTAAAAATCACAATATTTATATGAACCGGTGTCGATGTGGCGCGACCCTTGGCTCACAGACACCGAGCTACACTGGAGCCGTACACAAGGTTATACAACCGACATATAATGCGTAGTACGTGTACACGGTGTACCGACATGTACAGCTGGTGTAGAGCCGCGCATGTACAGTCGCGCTCACAGGATGCTCCCGCACCGACACGTGGCGCTACGTACACAATCTTAGAGATAGCACCTTTGGGGCCGGGGCCGGCCCCGCTCTCGCATCACAATCCTCTATACACTGGTACGTACACAACTTACACGTATCACGACAAACTTAAGGATACAAAAATATCGTGTAGTCTAAGGACAACGGCGTCAATACGACTAGTGCGTACCGAATTAATTATAGCTAGGTTTGTTCACTGCCCGTATCGTCAATGAAACGATCGTTTGTACGTCATCTCACACCAACTAAATGTTACGTTTACGATATGGACTCGCAATATGTCTGGGATTATATTGAAATGTGAATCGCATATCGCCCCGTCGACTGTAGCCGGCTCGTGCCGACCACCCTTCTACCTTGTTAATGTATAAAAAATATATTCGTAATGCATTTTTAGTATAAAAACAACAATATATTTCAAGTTTCAGTTAACTCGATAAAAGAAATAATGAATACAAATTGATTTTGCTTAAATAAAGATGACAACGCAATGAAAAATCAATAACATTTGGCACCGTTCAAGACGAACAAGGCACATAAAATTAATATCATTGCGTAAAACTAAAAAGACCGAGTCGTACTCGTTCTACTAAATAGCGATGCCGCCCCTCCTACACAGGAAACCAACTATGTATATTAGTGATATTAGTGGATATGTCGACAACACTAGAATTAGGCCAGCGACGAAGAGACGTGACACGAACGCCGGTGACAACTCCCTCGAGTTATAGATATATCACATCTTTTGTACTCTTCAAGCTATTCTTCGATAAAAGACGACGAATTTGCGAGTTTATTTATAGGCGAGTTTGTTTCTTTGTTTATGGAATTATCTGGCAACATACAAAATATATACGTGTGTAGTTTCTGACATAACTTGAGTAACCAGCCGCTAAAGCTATTATCATCTCCCCGCCCACTTCTCCATTTTATATTCATCGTAAGCAATATGTAACTTTGCTAAAGAATTTGGCTAGTTTTTAAACGCTAACTTCCAAAGAACTTTACCGAAATAAAAAATTAAAGTACACATCTCAAATTAAATTACCAATATTTTATTTTAAATATAAATATCACGTTATAATTACAACAATATCAATTTTGTACACAACTGTATCCGGCTCCAGAAGCTACAATCTTTTATTTTTTTCTTATAAAAAAAAGACAACTCCCGCACTAGTAATAAATCCTGTGTCACGGGGGACTTGACAAACATTCATGAAACGGACACAAAGAACACCCAGACTCAGAACAACAATTTGTGGATCACACAAAGTGTCGTCTCCCATGTGGGGTTTGAACCCACAACACTCGGCGTTGTATTAAGCGGCGTGGCGACCGCTTAAACCACTACGCCATCCGTGCAGTCAATATTTGTCTGTATTTGTCTCTGGTTCTCTTCGCCAATTTCGATCTCTGTTTCGCTGAGTTTGTCACTAAACTATGGCCCAATTTTGTACAAAGTCTGACGTAAAATCCTTCGATATGCGAACTGATATAAATAAGTAGATATGGATGTTGGGGCCGTGGACGTTGGAGCTGGTTAAATATGGTTCAGTGGCGTACATTTATAGCAACGCGTTTATGGACTTCAGGTTGACATCATACTCAATACACTTTTCAGAACCACGAGAAAATGAAATACATCGCATGAGAAAAATATTGCTCACGATTTTAAATTGTTACGTTGCGGCGTCCTCTTCATGTATTAGGACAAAATACCTATTTATCAAGTATGTCTGTACCCTACGCTTTTTTTATTTTAATTTTACTCATGTTCGGCTGATTGTGATTTTAAGAACTAAACATTAACGGTACGGCCGATGTATTTTATAATACAAACTAAGAGTTATGTATAACTATCATCACTCATATTTCTTAAACTTCGAATAATATACAAGATTAATGAATATTATAAATACACTTAAGATACAGTGTTATACATTGAAATGGGAGTGGTGTTGTACGACGATGAGACACGATGAAGCACCGGGAAGCTTAAGACACTCATTTACATATATACATATGTTGACCAATCAAAATAGTCACGAGACAATAAAGATATCTTAATTATTTATACGAACACCGTTTGAAATTCACTGAGATCAAAACTATACACTTTGACAAATTCATTTCGACAAACACTCAAAGTACAGACGCTGAATATATCGCCACGCAAACTTGCACAATATCTCGCACAGAAGTGGACATCACCTTATGAAGGTGATGATGAGGTGATGGCCCTGTTACCACCGCACCCGGTAGCCATACTGGCGACTTCTAGATCACTTACAGAGAAGACTTTCGTAAGTAAAATATGCATGTATTTTACTTACGAAAGTTATATGAAGTGTCAGTCAGATAGATCACTGACGAATGCAGCGGATTCAGATGCTGCTCGAAAAAACCTTCAAACACAGAGCTAACGATTAATTCTCGTCTAACTCAATATTATGGATGTGATGTGCCAACAATGGCGCGTGTCCCGCCCCACAATACATAACACAATTTAGCTAACGACGCGATCCTGCACGAAGCGCGTTACGATAATAAAATTCACTATAACATCCAAGAATTACGATATAAGGGTAAAGCTCGATAATTGCCCAAATTATTAATTAGTATATACAATATTTATATATATGTATATCGCCGGCTCGTCGTGTTCGACGGATCTCAAATATAAACGAACGTTCTATAAAACACTGTTGCCTTTTCAAGAGCAATAACACAACGTCAAATACATAAAAACAAAACCGCATCCAAACTGGTTCGTCATAAGAGATAGGACAGAAGGAATTATCACATTGGACCCCAAGTTGTCAGGCTATTGGTATTTGGAATTATTTCACTTAGTTCATAGAGTCGCGGCCGAGGGATGTCACCGGGCTACCCTTGGGGGGGGGGGGGAGCTGAGACGGATATGAGAGGCTTTATACCTCAGTTAAAAACAAGATGTACAAGCATGGTACGTCGGTGACATCTCTCAGACGGCGCGACCCATAGAACGGCAGGAACGACTTCACCTCGTCACTGCGACATAATTGTTAATTTTACACGTCACCCTCCACTGTAATGAATGCGTATCTTATCTTACACTCGACTATATATCGTATCTTACACAATGTTCTATTATCTTAGTCTGATTATACATACATATTAACATTCCGCTTACGTTATAGTAACGAAAGCGTCGCAATACTATTAGCTAATGTACAGCAGCGCGTTCAGGGGCCCCACACACACGAGAGGGGTCCCAGCGGTGGGGCCACGTCTGCGAGGCGAGTGCTCGTGTACTTTGGTATAAAACAGGCATTCATTACAACAATAACGAAATAATTACATGGAACTAAACATACAGTAATGCATGATCGACGTGGTCCGGGGCCGGGCGGCGCGACAATCACCTGTGCTCCGAACTGGGAGCCTCCGCGCCGCCGGGGGGCTGGGGGGGCGCGGGGGTCGCGAGGGTCGAGGGGGCCGCGCTCACCGCGCACGGCGGAGAGGACGAGGAGGGTAGGTTGGCGTTGACGATGTTGGCGATGGCGTCGGCCGACATGGCCGACATGGCCGTCAGAAGGTTGTTCGCGAGCTCCACGCTGCTCGCCTCGTCCATCCGCTCGTCCGTCGGCTCGTCGTCGAGCCGCACGCCGCGAAGGTTCGACTCTAACTCCGTCGTCGAATTCGAGTCTGCAACAAGGACGGCGGTCGTCAGAACGTCGGCGAACACTCGTCCGACTTCTACCCGAGCGAGCGGTACAGACCGTGGTGCTGCGTTTCATAGGACCAGAAGGGCGTGAAGTCGGCGAACTGGTCGTCGGCGCTGGGCGGCGCGGGGTCCTGGGGCGCGGCGGGGTCCTGGGGCGCGGCGGGGTCCAGCGGCGCGGCGGGGGTCTGCGGCGCGAAGGGGTCGACGGGGGTGAGCGGCGCGGCTCCGAAGTGCGCCCAGCCCTCGCCGCCGCAGCCGCCGCTCTCGTCGGGCTCCCAGGCTGCAACACCACGCCGCGCTTACACGACCCGCATACCACCGTGCCGACTGCCGCCTACCACCACTACACTACCACACCTCACCTCGACGGTCATTCTACCTCTATAACTTAGATTTCCTCCTTCGAATTAATGCAACTAGTACCCTTCGTTGCCAATTTAGTGTTTATATTGTTTTTATATTTTCAAATCAACCTACCTAGCTATTGTCAAATTATTTAAATTTAATAAAATTTAAATAATTTGACAATAGGTAGGTATGATATCACACAGAAATCTGTTTCATACAGAACGTTGGGCATCAAAATTGAGAACTTCATCTGACGTTTAAAAGAAAAACGTTTCAGGTTAAATTATTGCATGAACTCCAAAAAGTAGTCCGACTGCATTAATGAATATATACTCCATAATATTTCAGTAATTATTTATATTGAAATTATCGCTAAACATCGTTCGCCCGTTTTACGTAACGCATCTGTTATATAAAACAGATATTTGAAAAACGAATTCAACATTTCCGACTGCTAGATAAACAACTAAATACGAATTTACCATTGATTAAACTTTTGCAACATAATAAACAACTTCAGTTCATTGATCTAATTGAACAACCTAGAGTTCAACCTCTGCACAACAATCAATTTGGCAACACATGAAATATAATGACGTGTAAGAAACAGGTACGTATATTATATAGAGCGTAGACTCACGTGAGATCTGGTCGAACACGTTCCGCACCTCCTCACCGGGCACGTAGAAGTCGTACTCGTCTTCATCGCCCGAGTCCTCCCACATACTGCAAAGGAACAATTCACACACACATATATATATATATATATGGGAACATAGGGTTTAACCCCCCCCCCCCCCCTTCCACCCCTCCGTAAACAAGCAGACCTGGACCTCAATTCTGCTATTTTAATATTGTATCAATAGACTGTCGATGGAATGTCTTCGGAATAGGTTTGCAACTAACTATGTAAGACCAATGTCCAATGTGTGTGACCAATGGAATGACAGTGGCTTGGCGTTAACATAAAATAGCAGAATTAAGACCCTGATCGATGGTAAGTAAATACCGCAGCCCAAGAGTCACAAGTGCGTGCCGTCCTTTGAGTCTTACCCCTAGAATCAAGGGGAGAAGGAGTCTGGGCTCCGGTAACCTCACTCACTCGGTGAAAAAACCACGAAAGAATTGTTTAACACCGGTTTTCTGTGAGACCGTAATTGCACTGTGGTCGAGCCTAGCCCATTTGTGCCGAAACATGACTCTTTGGGGTACACAATATTTGAAAAAAAAAAACTGAATATTGATCAATCAAACAATTTAAACTTTTCAATGTTTTTTAATGTTATCATCATCATCATCAACAGCCTTTAATAGTCTACTGCTGGACATAAGCCTCACCTAAGAAAGGAGGTTTTGGCTTACTATACCACGTTGGCCAGACGGGTTGGTATAGGGTTTGTGTTGGAGACGGTGAGGAGGACCGGCTTCATGAGGAGTACCGACGGGCGCGGAAAACTCTGAAGCTGGCCATTAGCCGCGCCAAAGAGGAAAAAAGACAGGAGATGCTGGAGGGTCTTAATCGTGACCCCTGGGGTCGCCCTTACCGCGCGGTGCGACAAAAGCTCCGCGCGTCGGGCCCCCCCCTTACGGAGACTCTCCAGCCCAGCTTCCTGCGAGAAGTGGTTGAGGGCCTTTTCCCACAACGGGCGGAACACACTCCCCCGTCGATGGCCTCCCTGGCCGGAGACGACGGGGAGCACGGGGAGGACAATGTTCCGCCCGTCCGGGAATCGGAGGTAGGGGCGGCTGTTCTACGGATCCGTTCCAAGAACACCGCCCCTGGGCCAGACGGGGTACCGGCCCGAGTGCTGGCCCTGGCCCTCAACCACATGGCAGACCGCCTCGGGGAGGTGTTCGACGCTAGCTTGGCGTCGGGACGCTTCCCTGAGTGCTGGAAGAGCGGGAAGCTGGTCCTACTGACGAAGCCGGGACGGCCTGCCGATTCGGTCGCGGCCTATAGGCCCATCGTGCTGCTGGACGAGGCGGGCAAATTGTTTGAGAGGGTTCTTTCTGCCCGCATCGTCCGGCACCTCTGCGAGGTGGGCCCCGATCTGTCGGACGCCCAATTTGATTTTCGGGCGGGGCGTTCGACAGTCGACGCCGTGTTGCGCCTGAGGGCTGTGACCGAAGAGGCCGTGAGCTGTGGCGGCGTGCTGTTGGCGGTGTCATTAGACATCGCCAACGCATTCAATAGTCTGCCATTCAGCTGCATCAGGGAAGCACTCCACTATCATGGGGTGCCAAAGTACCTGAGGCGGCTGGTGGCAGACTATTTAGAGGAGCGTACCGTCGTGTACGAGGACCGAGAAGGTAATTTGAGGAGTCGGCCCATGTCGTGCGGTGTTCCACAGGGGTCTGTTCTTGGACCCCTCTTGTGGAACATAGGGTACGACTGGGCCCTTCGCGCCGATTTCCCCCCCGGGCTGGGTGTAATCTGTTACGCAGACGATACCCTCGTGACAGCCCGGGGGGCAAACTTCCAAGAGGCGGCGCGCCTGGCCACAGGGGGAGTCTCCCTGGTGGTCGGGCGCATTGAGGCGCTGGGCTTACGGGTGGCCCTAGATAAGACGGAGGCCCTGTTATTCCATGGGCCCCGTCGTGGTCCACCCCCTGGCGCCTCCATCGTGGTCAACTCGGTCCTCGTACCGGTTCGGGCCCAGATGAAATATCTGGGCCTGATCCTCGACGGGAGGTGGCTCTTCGACGAGCACTTCCGACAGCTTGCTCCAAGGCTGGTCGGCGCTGCGTCCGCCCTAGGGCGACTTTTGCCCAATATGGGTGGACCCAGCGTCGCGACAAGACGGCTGTACACGGGGGTTGTCCGGTCAATGGCACTGTACGGTGCACCGGTGTGGGCGGCGGCTCTGACCGCCCAGAATAGGGTAAGCCTCTGGCGCCCTCAGAGGGTAATGGCGGTCAGAGCCATACGCGGTTACCGCACCGTTTCGACGGATGTGGCGTGCGCGTTGGCCGGAACTCCCCCGTGGGATTTGGAGGCGGAAGTGCTCGCCGAAGTTTATCGGCGAGTGGCTGACTACCGGGCGGAGAGCGGATTTCGCCCTCCGCCCGAGGATGTGCGCGAGTGGCGCGAAGCCGCTCGCCGAGCCACGATGGCTCGTTGGTCGTTCCGGCTGGAGACTCCACGCGCTGGCTTCGCCGCCGTGGAGGCTCTCCAGCCGGTCATCGCCGAGTGGGCAGGGCGGCAGCACGGGACCCTTTCCTTCCGACTGACGCAGGTGCTCTCCGGGCACGGTTGCTTCGGAAAGTACCTGCACACGGTCGCTAGGAGGGAACTGAGTCCCGCCTGCCACCACTGCGACTGCAGTGAGGACTCGGCCCAGCACACGCTGGCGGTCTGCCCCGCATGGGCGGCGCAGCGCCGGGCCCTCACTGCAGTCATCGGAGTGGATCTCTCGCTACCGGCCGTAGTACGCTCCATGGCCGGTAGCGACAGTTGTTTTACCGCGGTCGCAACCTTCTGCGAGGTAGTAATCTCGCGGAAGGAGGCGGCGGAGAGGGCCCGGGAGGACGACCTCCACTCGGACCCGATCCGCCGCCGGCGAACCGGGCGGCGGAGGCCCGGCTATCACAGCCTCATGCCGCCCTGAGTGTGGCCACGGGTGGACGGGGTGGGTTTCCCCTCCACCCGCATTAGTTTGGCCAGCCGCGAGGGGGCGGCGTCCGCGTGTGCCGGACGTCGCCTATAAAGAGAGGAAAAACATCGAGACGGAGCCCGCACCTGGAGCGGGCTGGCGCTAGGAGGGGTCCGGATGTCTTAACAACAGCTGTTCCCGGATCCCTCCTGTTACAGGCGCAGAGTGGCACACCGTGTGGTTTTAGTCGGTCCGAGTCCGACACACCACCCCGCCGCAAACCCCGGAGGGGTGACGGTCCGAGGGGATTTCCACACGTTAAAAAAAAAAAGGGTTTGTGTCAAGTTTTCCTTCTCTTGCAGTGCTGTTATTCTGTGTAGTTTTTTCCCCTTAGTCGGCTCTTACGACATCCACGGGATGAACAGGGGTGGTGACATTCTGTATTCTTAATCCGTCACCACACGGAATTAATTGAATGTTAGTATATGATATATTCCCATCGAGATACAAGTCTTCAGGTTCAGATGTCACAGATTATAGAAAGTAGTAAAGTTGAATATAGGATACTCACTCTGCATCGAACCTCTGACTAGCTAACTCTAAGAAATTGCTCTTGGCCTTGGTCATCTGAAAATTAAATATACAATATTGTTATTTATGTTATGTCTACAAATTTATATGTAAAAGTGTATCTTTCAAAGTTTAACCAGGCGAGGCCCACTCCGCACTACACAAGGTATAGTCCGATGCAAAGTTAATGGCGCCTCTGAAGTTAGCTGCACAAGTGTGGGCGGGCACCTGCAGCCAAGTGGACTCGACTGTACGTAGACAGGAACGTGCGCGCGTGTGCAGTGTACGGATGTAACTCACACACTCGCCCCGCCCCGCGCCCCTGTACGTCCCGCTGCCGTCTATTATTGTGTTCTGCGCATCGAAACGCGATGTTCTCAGCCGCCATTAAGTTTGCATCGGACGAGTCGTGTGGACGAGCTGTTAGTTTTTAAATTATCGAGGTTGCACGAAATTCAATTTTTGTACACAAATGTACAAAACTAGGTAGTTATTAATGTGCGAACAGAATTGAACTATGAATCACATCCTCGTGTTGTCAAACTAAAAGGCACTATCTGTTAAAATGAATTAGCACAGTGAATGTCAAACTCGTTAATGTTTAAATGTATACGAACTTTATCGCTGTCCTCGATGCCCAGTCCGTCCGCTATGAAGTCGGGCGAGTCCGCCACTGAGCTCACCGCGCCGCCCATCTAACAACATAATACAATAAACAAGTTAAAATTATTCATGTAAATAAAAACACAAAATACAACTACATTTTTTATAACTTTCTAAGAGAGACAATACCAGCATTCCTATGTATGAATCTCCAGCAAATCTTACCGGGATATTATTCAAACTTATTTATTTTTAAAACAACATCTCTCCGGTTAATTAGTTACTTTTACGGATTATTAGCTGTCCTTAACTACCGCTAATTTTACAAATTAAAGGCGAACAGGATTTATTAATTTTCAAAATGTTGTTTTTTAATAATAACTAATAGTGTTGAATGTTAGGTTTTAGGTAAAACGAGTACAGGTCGTACCTCGGGCGCGTCGTCAGCGTTGCCGTCGTCGGCCACCTCCTGTATGACGCCCGGCGCGCCCGTGTCGTTGATCTAACGTGCAACACAAACAAATTAAAAGGTTTGTTAACGTTTTTTTTTTATGTTAGAGGGGACAGACGAACAGACGGGTCACCTGATGGAAAGTGACTGTCCATGATCGTCTGCAACTCAGGAGTCACAAGTTCGTTACCGGCCTTTTAGGAAGGAGTACTTTTCTTGAAGATTTGAAAGTCATATCAGTCCGGAAATACCGCAGACGATAACTTGTCCCTATTGTCTTTGAATATTTTATTGATAATCTTTATTACAAAAAGGCTTGCTTAATTCATATATTATTATTTCAAATTAGTTTTTAACATTAAAATGTTTAAATTTAAACATTCTATTTATTTTATCTTAGTTATGTATTTAATATACTATGATATTAATACATATTTTTCTGTGATTTATTTTGTAGGTAGGTTTCAAGAAACACACTTACGAGGGGTGATCAATAAGTAATGATAATCGAGTATTTCTAGAACGCACAAAAACCCAAATTATTTTTTTTCTGCTTGCTTATATATCCACTACTTCAGCTTCAAAAAAATGTATAAATAGGACACCATGACCGGGAGATACATTCATTTGAATACGAACTGTCGAAGAGAAAACATCAAAATGGAGAAAAATGAAATAAGAGCTGTCATCAAGTACCTCTGCCTGAAAAAAATGTCTACCAAAGACATACACAGCGACTTAGAGGAAACATTGGAGGAGTCTGCTCCTCCATATTCCACAGTCGCACGCTGGGCAAAGGAATTTAAGCTGGGCAGAACCTCCACTGAAGATGAACATCGCGAGGGACGCCCTTCCACGTCCCTTACTGGAGAAAACGTCAAAAAAGTGGAAGATATCGTGTTGGCCGATCGAAGGGTGACCGTAAGGCATGTAGCTGAGGTCACAGGGATCTCCTATGGCAGCGTTCAAAAAATCATTGTCAACAAAATGCATATGAAAAAGGTCTCTGCGCGTTGGGTACCGAGAATGTTAGCCGAAGAGCAAAAAAAGAAACGAGTCGACATTTCGAGGGTGAATCTTCAAAAGTTCCAGGCCGATAAAGAATTTTTTTTGTCGCGTTTTGTGACCATGGACGAGACCTGGATCCACCACTTTGATCCCGAAACCAAACAGCAATCAATGACTTGGAAACGAGCTTCCTCACCAACGCCGAAGAAATTCAAAGTGTCAAGTTCAGCGGGAAAGGTTATGGCGTCTGTTTTCTGGGATGCAGAAAGAATTATTATGGTGGAATATTTGGAAAAGGGGGCCACTATAAAAGGCTCTTACTACGCAGGCCAAATAAGAAGATTGCGAGAAGCTATTAAGTCAAAAAGACGCGGTAAACTGCGCGCTGGAGTGCTGTTTCACCAAGACAACGCCCCGGCTCACAAAGCCGCAGTTGCGATGGCTGCCATTGAAGAAACGGGGTTCGAACTGCTCGAACACCCTCCCTATTCGCCAGATCTAGCTCCCAGTGACTTCTACCTCTTTCCTCGGCTCAAAGAACACCTCCGGGGCAACAAATTTGAGGACAATAGTGAAGTGATGGCCGCAGTAGAGGCATTTTGGGAGGGTCAAGACAAAGAATTTTTTTCTAAGGGAATCATGGGCTTAGAAAAAAGATACACTAAATGTATTAACTTGCAAGGAGACTATGTTGAAAAATAAAATACTTTTTTTAATCTAATAGTTCTGTTTCATATTGATTATCATTACTTATTGATCACCCCTCGTACATCTATATACCCGAAGGGGGTAGACAATGGTGGATTTTATGGTCATATTTTAATACTTATAATTTTAGTATTCCTTGTGTAATAGGAAGATAAATAAAATGATTAAGGAAGATAAATATTATGATGAAAAATGAGAAATTTTTCATTTTTTATAACTCGGTGATATCATAATATTTAACAATTTCTTATTAATTTATAAACGATGTAGTGAAAATATAAGTATTTATGTAAACTTTGAACGAGCTCGTTGATACTTACGTCATAAGTAGCCCCCATGGGGTCGGGCATGATCTCCACCTCGTAGAAGTTCCCTGATGGATAGTAGCCGCCCTGTAACGCAGAACACACTAGTTATGACGCGTCCGGTGTGTCGTGGGTTTCTACAGTGTCATGTGTCGATGTGGATAACGGAAACGATGCTTTATAATAGTAGTAATAGCTACACACAGCTCATACACGGCTGTCTGGTTCAAACTAGGGTTCAAATACATACATATCATAGATAAATTAATCGTATTTACTTTAAAGGATGGTGGAGCAGGCGAAGAAATTGGAGCGTTTTATTAATCGTTAGATCACATCACAGCTTTTAATAGGCCTGCGGCTTTCTTAGAAAGGAGGTTTGGGCCTATTATAAAATGCCGGCCACACGGTTCGGTATAGGGTTTGTGTTAATTTTTTTATTCTCTTTGGGAGCGTTCAAGTATTACGTAACGCAATTTGGGGGGGATGGGGTCTCGTAAAACGTTACGATGCGTTACAGGGACGAGAGGGGGGTCTTTCTTACAACACGTTACGTAACATTGTTTCTAAAAAATTAGGGAATTAAAACTCGCAAACTGGCAACCCTTTTCATTTACGTTACGGGGAATCCCTCGATTGTATTAGTCTGGTCGTCATTTTTTATTATTTTTTTGAGCCGCATGTAGCCTTTTTAATATAAAAAAAGTGGAATGAATGGATTCTATTATGAATTTTGCGGATCATTAATGGCGGCGTAAACCTTAAAATTTTGAGGGAATAAAATTTTAAACCTGAATTCTTTTTTAATCTCCTTATTATAAATATGAGAACCAACACGCACAAAATCATAACTCAGTATCCATTCGTTTAATTGATATTTTATTTAATTTTAGGGTAACAATGATCACTTGAGTGTTACGTAACGTTTAGAGAGGGGGAGGGAGGGTACAGAAAAACGTTACGGTGCATTACAAAGGGGGGAGGGGGGGTTCAAAAATCTTCAAAAATTGCGTTACGTAATACTTGAACGCTCCCTTTGCAGTACTGTTATCCTGCGTAATAAGCTCTCGTAGTCGGCTCTTATGATATCCACAGGATGAATGGGAGTGGTGACAATTCGTATTCTGAATCCACCGGCACACAGATGGCGAGACGTAGAGGAACAACGGTCGCTCACCAGCGGCGTGTCGTGCTGGTGCAGCAGCGGCCACAGCTGCGCGTCGAGGAAGGCGGCCCAGCGGCGCGCCAGGGGGGGGGGCGGCGCGTGCGCGGCCAGCGCGCCCGGCGCCAGCGCGCGCGCGCACTCGCGCAGCGCCAGCACCACGTGGCCCAGGCACGCGCCCCGCACCACCCGCGCGCCCGCCTCCCTGACACACACATTTTTTTTATTTAACCGACGGCATCTACCTTTGCATATAAACGAAATCCTTGACTATTTATATATAGAACACGGTAACCGCTGAATCGATCGTCCCATAGCCCCCTCCATCGTCTGACTTGACACCAAATTTTATTTGTGAAATAAAAAAAAAAATCGTGTGTACGGAGTTCGGTAGAAATCCTAGAAATGTGACCGTTCAACACATCACTAAAACACTATCACATCCAAATATATCTCTATTCGCATATCATCATAGTGTATAAATCACTTTCGTTTCCGCAACGCAAATAATTTAACTAAAATTTTATCTGCATAATCGACTGGATTAATAAAATTAATATAAAAATTTACTACTATTTCCTAAAAAATGTTCTGATTACATACAAACATCCAAAATATTTATACCCTCAAATACCTACCAAAAACCCAATTAAACAAAATCGGTTACAACAAATAACCACAAACATAAAAACCCTTAATTTAAAACATTGTTATATTTTATCCAATCATAACAAACATTCTGTACACCAAGAACAAACCAGAACAATTTGATTAATTGAACAATTTACAGAAGCTTCTGCACACGATACACACTAGTTTGCAAATAAAACATAAAGTTACACGCATCACGCTCATTTCACAAATTAAGGTAAAAAGTAATAAAATATAACAACTTACTTATTGTTTTTATTCTCTTCGAACACATCCATGAGCCGTGTCAGCAGATCGCATTCGATCACCAACTGAAAAGGCATTATTTTCACCAATCAATGCACGTGTAAATGACGTGATATTTGTTCCGTCAATGAGAGACGTTTAGACAGAGTGACTATTTTTAAAACAATTTCTTATGTATTTTAAATATACTTATGTATTTTTGCAGTAAAACTTCTTTACGCACGCTGGACTTGAGGAAAAAGCTGGTGAATGCTTAACGAGAGCGTTACGAAAAGTGTGATCGGGCGCGGCGAACGGAAGTTGAGAGGGAGATATAAGTTAGTGAATATAGAAAGAGCGAGAGTTACGTTTCATATATTACTGTAGAGGCAAATAAGAGAGGTGCGTGCACACATTTTCTTTCTCTATTGTTCTCATGGTCAAGAAGTTTTACTCGTTTTTTAACTAATTATGCGAGTTCACGCTATACAGTCTAACGCCTATTTTATTTATCTACGTACCCAACGGTAACCCCCCCAACAAGCTATGAAACGAACACTCACTGTTAAAGAAATAGTTTTTAAACACGCATAGAACCAGGAGCTAGAGTAACTAAACTAATAAATTATATGATTTTAATATAAAAAAAACAATTATATCTGTCTCCTGACCACTTCACAGTTGCGACCCTTACCTGTATATAATATGTGATGCGGGAAACGATCCCGCAATTATATAAGTGTATGTCAATACTTACATGTCTCGCGTATTGTGTCCAGTAGACTCTGTTGGTGAGCGCGTTCTTGATCAGCGTGTACACCTGCGCGTGCAGCAAGTTGTTGAGGGGGTACTCGAAGAACATGTCCAGTAGGACGCCAGGGGTGCCTGGAAGAATATCGATAAGCACTAAGTACCTATTTTTTATGTTATAAGCATCCACTAAGAAAGGATTCGAAATTTCATCCCTAATCGTCAAAGAAGAAGCGATGGTCTCAGTCGCCGTCAGATGGAGCGTGACGTACCCAGCGTGAGCATGGTGGTGGCCACCTCCTCGACCTCGGAGAGCGCCAGCTGCGCCAGCAGCGTGGCCACCTGCAGGCGCGCCAGCCCCACGGCGCGCGGCGCGGGCTCGTGCAGCAGCGCCTGGTGCAGCAGCGGCAGGTGCGGCGCCACGCCCAGCTCCACGGCGCCGCTGTCGCGGGCCGCGTACGTGCGGAGCGCCTCCTCCTCCACCGAGCCCTTCTCCGGCCTGAGGACACATCGATGTCGTGTGACTCGAGCCTGGCTTCGTTCGTAGGCTTAAGAAGGAGCATATACGTACTGCGGGGGGTCGTAATGCAGCAGCGCCAGCAGCACCTCCGTGCCGTTGACGAGCGCCTGTCTCCGCGCGTGAGGGGGCGACGTGAACATTCCCTGCAGTAACGTGTTCACTCCTCGTTCGGACTGTAGCGCCGACACCACGCTGCGAACCGATTGCATCCGGGACAGAATCATGAAACCCGGTCTCGGTCTGCATTAACCGAATGACAAAAAAATTACACTATATAACATTGTAAACGTGAAAGTTATGAATTGTGTTTCTGTTATGCTTCTAAATCATGATCGACCGAACTTCACGTCATTTCATCACGAAATCTAGCACATCGAAAAAAGTATTGTTCCCAAAAAATAAGAAAAACTATATTTTTGTACCAATTTACTACATAATTTTTGCAGTTAAAATTATAAAACTTCAGTAGCCGAGGATGAGTCAATACCTGCACCCGTTCTCGATGAGATCACACAGCAGCGCGGCGGCGTTATCGGAGGCGGCGGCCGCTCTCCGCGCAGCCGCCCGCGTCGCTTCCGCTTCCGCCTCCGCTGCCGCTTCAGCCGCCTGCACACGCGCTCCGTTCTCCGCAGCGCCCGTGTCTTTAGCACCCTCAGGCTGAGTGTGCGGTAAATCTGCTGTATTTATCTGCGTTGCATCGTCGTCTGATTTGCCACCGCTATCACCACTATCTGCGTTACACACTCCTGTGAAAAATTATCAATCAAACACTTTATTTAACAGATACATGAATGTGTTACCAAAAAATTACATAGCACTGATTTTATACCTCACTAGCTGTATGTACCCTGCTACGCTTCACTGTGAAAAACGAAGAACAAAACTAACGAGAAAAATAAATAAAAACAATCTTTAAAGAGGTTTCTATATCGTGTCAAAATTAAAGCTCAACTGGTGCAGAACTTTCAGATTTTTGTAAACGTGCACAAATCAACTTAACAGTTTTATATATAGTTTAGGTCCGTGTGGTGACGCATTAAGAATACGAAGTGTCACCACCACTATTCATCCCGTGGGTGTCGTAAGAGCCGACTAAGGGAGCCAACTACGCAGGACATCAGCACTGCAAAGAGAAGGAAAACTTGACACAAACTTATACCAACCCGTTTGGCCAGCGTGATATAGTAGGCCAAAACCTCCTTTCTAAGGAGAGGCTTATGTCCAGCAGTGGACTATAATAGGCTGTTGATGATAGGTATACACATTTAAGACAAGCTACAATTACACAAGACATCCTAAACATATTCACAGTAATAATGTTACCAAAATACTTCAACTATCATGTTTAGATTCAATAAGTTAAATGACAAATAAAAATAATTACTTTATATATTATACAATTTTATATTAAATGAAAAGCAAATATAATCCTATTATCATTAAACCGACAAAAAAAACATAATTTATAAAATTTAAATTATTATTTTTATTTTTGATGTAAGTTTGAGTAAGAAATAATTCACAAATTCCAACTGGTTGGAAGTTTAAGATATTCCTGTAATTTAAAATGGAGAAAACTCGTCATCGAAGTCATTTCGCAAGAAATGTGATGTACTTAAATGTAATAAAGATCTATCATTTAACTTTACTTGTTTATAATAATTTTATTTTATATTACGTGTTCATTTGTGCCGAGATAAATGTAATTACTACCCCAGCAGCCTTACCTTTATCACCGTCACCATCGACTCCGCCACTATCCCCCTCGTCGGTGTGGTTCGACTCGGGCTTCTCGGGTGTCTCGCGCTCCGCCTTCTCCACTCCGTCGGGAATGGCCTCCTGCGGGGGCGGGGGCGGGAACGCCTCGGGTACGTACGTGCCGCAAATAATTTGGATCAAGCACTCTAGAAACTGATGCTCATCTAACCACTGAGGACAAACAACAAATACTATTTAAAAAAAATCTTCAGGATATAGATACCTGAGGACAAGCAACAAATACTATTTAAAAAAAATCTTCAGGATATAGATACCTGAGGACAAGCAACAAATACTATTTAAAAAAAATCTTCAGGATATAGATACAATAATTAATACGCTTCACAGATAAACATTTTCTTTTTATAAAATACAAGGAATAAAGCGGATATTTTTGTTTTTTACAACTGAGCGAAATATTTAGGGATGAGTCTATATTGCTCCTATCGGTGTCGTACGAAAAAAGAATACTTAACCACAAGTAATTACAATATTGTTGTAACCTCAGGTGCGAAAAAGCAGAAGTGTTCTATATTCTGCTGTGTGTGTCTGTGTCCAACCACATATCAAAGTTTCTAAACAGATGGACCGATGTTATTATATATTGGACAGTTTTTTACAGACAACTTCCGCACTATAAATATATCCTGTGTGTAAACATTCATGGGACACAAAAAACACCCAGACTCAGAACAACAATTTATTGATCACACAGTGTTATCCCATGTGATGTCGAACCCACAACACTCAGCGCACTAAAAATTGGCGAGGTGACCGCTCAAACCACTAAGCCATTTATTTATTCTTAATCTAAACGGCCTCTGACCAGTTACACCATTTAGGAGAAAAACGTTGATACAGAATAAACGATACTTTACAACAACTTTGTCCATTTCAATATTAAACAATGCTCCTTCTAACACAGACTTATCGCAGTACACCAGACATACTGACATAATTGTCCGCCATCCATCCGCAAACAAGTCACAGTCTGGATTTGAGTCCGAGAGAGCGTTGAGTGCTGTAAGTGGAATGGGGGAGTTAAAATGTGCTACCGTGCGGCATATAGGTGGTGCAAATAGTCTGTGTCTTCTACCACACCTGTAGTTATTGGGTACATACATACTTTAGGGTGAATCTCAGGGGCTTCAGTTTTTCCTAATAAAACATTGCACACTGTTCTGATCTGACCATGCGTTCTCCTCACACTCAGTGAGTGATATCCTAAGCTACTCAAGAGATATACAGTAGGGTACATGAAGGGATAGTATCCATTTTCCCTTTTGTATAAGAATCTCAGGAACGCTTTCTGAACCTTTTCTAGTAAAAAGACGTATGTGGCTACGTAGGGGTTCCATAGGCAAAGCGTTGTATTCTAGTTTACTACGAACCAAGGAATTGCAGTGTTCTTACCACGTCATTACTTGAAATGTCTTTCGCATTCCTGAGAACAAAACCAAAAAGCCTAAAAGATTCCTTTTTCCGTATATATTTTTTACTATATGAGCATGAAATGTGGGTCCCGGATCAAATATTACGCCCAAATCTTTCATATAAGTGGTTCTAGTAACAGAATCGACGTTTATTTGGTAATCAAAGTAGATTAGACGCCTTTTCCTTCCGAAAGTCTGCGCAAAACATATAGAGTAGTTATATTCAATTCATAGTCAAGTTCAATTTTGACAGCACGGATGGCGTAGTGGTTTAAGCGGTCGCCACGCCGCTTTCTACTACGCCGAGTGTTGTGGGTACACTTTGTGTGATCCACAAATTGTTGTTCTGAGTCTCGGTGTTCTTTGTGTCCGTTTCATGTATGTTTGTAAAGTCCCCCGCGACACAGGATATATTCCTAATGCGGAAGTTGTCTTTTTAAAAAGATTTTTTTTTTAAGACCTCATTTATTTATTGCTTGTATATCTTGTCGAAGACTTCGACAGTCAGCTTCAGAAAGTATTTCGTAGTAAAGTTTTAAGTCATCTGCATGAAGGAAACATCTGGCATGCGTTAGTACTGTGAGCAGGTCATTTGTCATTATAAGAAACAACAAGTGCCTAGTACTGAACCTTGCATCTGTACACTCAATACCTCAGAACACAATATTATCTGTTCTATACTTAAATCTTAGCCACCCATCAGACTTTATCACCGCTAGGATTAATTTCATCACATATGCCATGGCCATGTGGAGATGACCTCATACCGTTCTGCATACAACTGCGCTGTTCAAATATATCTGCCTTGTGGCACAGATTCGCTGTGATAAGCTAACAATATCGAAATGAGTCAACTATACGACCAAGAGTCTAAAGTGGAACTATGTGAAAGTAAGTGAAGTGTTATTGATATAATACGATTATAGATAAAATGGCGAGACTGATACCTTAGTAATGCCAGAATCAAATTATCTAAACGTAATAAACGCAGCAACATTACCATTACATTATCGTGGGAGGGTCATGCTTCCACACAAATGGGCCAGCCCTACCAGAGTGTTACCACCGCCTGGCAGAAAATCAGTGTTAAGTATTTTAAGTTAGCTTTCATCGATTGAGTGAGGTTACCGGAGCCCAAACCTCCTGATTCTGAGAGACCTGACTCGAAAAACGATAACACACTTGGAACTCTTGAGTTCAGGTATCTTTGGGCGGCGGTAGTCACTTACCAACAGCAGTGCTATTCTCTAAGGAATCAGCCTAGCGTGGCTGCATTTCACACTTTTTTTTACATCTCCCGCACTATCCTGTGGTGTTGCCTGTGGGGGACTTTACAAAAATCATGAAACGGACACAATTTGTCAAAGTGATGTCCCATGTGGGGATCGAACCCACAACACTTAGCGCAGTAGGAAGCGGCGAGGTGACCGCTTAAACCACTACGCCATCCGTTTGCCTCCTATGCCATAAAAACAAAAAAAACCCTCATCGGAAAATCAAATATCAATTCAATTTCTTTCAATAACACATGGATCGGGGTCCAATTCCATTCTGTCAAGCTTTTTAGTAACCACTGTGATGTTCTCATCTTTTAATAAATATTGATTTCGTGGATGTGTTCTATGCATTAAGAATACAATAAACTTTCGCACAAACTAAGTAGAACGAGAATATTTTTCTATAGACGCATATCGCTTTTGCAGTAACTTTCAAATGATAAAATGCTTTACAATAAGGCGACATACCTCCATGACAGTTTTAATAAGGTCGTCGATCTTCAAGAGGAATTTGAAGATATCCGCAATAGCAGACGTGGACATGTGTCGCAGGAGATTGGGTAGGAAGTCGCGCCGGGACTTGAAGAAGTCCAGCACGCGCAGGCACACTATATGATGAAGGCACCAGTCCTGGACAACATAAACACAAATACATGACTACAATAATTTCAATATTTACTAATTGCAAAGGGAGTTAGTTAGCAGTGAGCTTCCAAACAAACTCAATATTGGTCCAATCCGTTAGTATTATGAGTTGTCTGACTAATGAACATTCCTTACAATGCAAAAAAAACCATTGTGCTTTAGACCCCAGGACTGAAGTAAAATTTCTTGGCTATGAGAGAATGAGAGAAAGAAAATGTGTGCTCGCACCTCTCTCTCTTGCCCCTACAGTAATATACGAAACGTAAATCTCTCTCTTTCTATCTTCACTAACTTCTCCCTCTCTTCTCCTTCTTCTCTCTTCTTCTTCTCTCTCTCAACTTCCGTTCGAATCGCACGATCACACTTTTCGTAACGCTCTCGTTTACCAGCTTACTCCCTAAGTCAGGAGTGCGTAAAAACCTGAACTATGGAGCCAATGTCAAACTTACGAACTTTTATATAATTTACGTGATCCTTACCTGTCTAGGGCTCTTTTCCAACAACATTTCTACAGTTTTACTGAAATATGAGGCAAGAAGTGGATTCAGGGGTGGATCTTTATTGATGAAATCACAGAGACGATTCATCTGAGTCGCGTCCTGCGAAAGCCGATCACTCAGCATGGAGAGGTGGCTGGTGAGGACTTCGCACGCTATGTTCGCGTAACGATACTGTGTCGCCAACTCCACATTCTTTGGGGGCTCTTCAGTTATCAGGGTTATAAGGTCCGCCAGAGTCTCTGGCTTTGTGAGGCTGCAACAAGTGAGCTAGTTAGTTTACAAGTCCCTCACAAAGCTTGTATGTATGAACACCCAAGAGTAATGCCAATACCCAGAATCGAAGTATTTGGATGAAGTTGCGTGGCCACACTTATCAATAAAAATATATAAAATCAAAGTGTATGTTTGTAGTGTCAAAATAATAGTTTCTTTTTTAATCTCACACGGTTATTTGAATGATATCTATGCCTAAAAACCAGTTTAAATATTTTTGTCAGTCTGTTTGTTCTGGGTAATCTTCTAAACATCTGGACTGATTTTGATAATATTTTACTACCAGGTAGCTGTCTATTTAAGGAGTAACTTAGGCTACTTTTCCTCTCTGAAAAACTATATAAAATTTTGCCCCGTCCGGGAATCGAATTCACCACCAAGGCAGTGCTTTTCAGTTTCGAAATGTTAAATTTAAGTATGAATTAATTATTCTTTCAAAAACTGCAACCCTATATTTGCATGCCTATTACTGGCGAAATGTATATCTTGCCTATATTTTTATTATCACCCTTGTGTAGGTACCTTTTTATGCAAATCAATTCTTTATTATTAAAATCAGTGGGTGACCATCTGGGATTACAGAGTCTTAAAGCCCTTTAGATCAGAGAGATGCTGAATAAGCAGGACCCCGCTGATTCAGCGCCTGAGTGAAAGAGAGGGCTTGTGTCAATAGAAAGATAAAGGATGTAATTTTGCTGGTCCAATCCTGCGTGATAGGTGATACCACCATGAATTGGCATGCCCAGCTTACTATGGTCTGGGGAAGCAATGGTAAAGATAATTAAATTCCATTTACAGTGACCTAAACTACGTCTGTCATAATATTTACTGTATGCAAAAGAATTTAATGGATGTCTTTGCATGTTTTTTAAAGACAATGATTGGCTTAATTCTAATAAAGATTGTGTAAAAACCGGTCAGGTACGAGTTGAACTTGTGAACGAGTTGAACGAGGGTTACTACCTACCTAAGTTTTACATAGATTTTCGCACAAATTTGTAGGTACCAAAATTTATCTTAATTCTTGCCTCTGCTTGTGTGCTTCACGACTATGTTGTTAAGCCCAGGAGCTAAGTGGGTATATACTGATATTTGGAAAAGCCCATGAACAGACATTACAAATCAATATTACTAGATAGAAGACTAACATTCTTAATGAGAGAACAGAGACTTGTCAAACATAGTCATCAAAAATGGTGTTAGGAGTTCAATGACCTTGTGTTTTTAATCAGTATTAAGTATGTAGTCTTGTTTGTTTGTCTTTCTCTCGGCTAGAGGATTATCACTTCTCAATACATTTTTTGTTTAGTACATACTCTTGAAAAGCAAAACTCGTATTTGTGACAAATTCTCATTGCCTTTTAGAATTCCTACCTACTTTACCTACACAATGAGATATAATAAATATTTTCCACAACTAGGTTATTATATTATCACTGTTTACACAGTCTTTGACAATATTATACCCTTGGAACAACTGGATAACAGCTTGATTAATACAACAACAGGAAACAATAACTTCATTATGACTAAGCAAATATTTATGTTTATATTGAACTTTAATAGATATTAATACTATGCTAATGAACAATTACAGGTGCAGCGCGCATTATTGATGATCAAGCATTCACAAACAGATCACAATAAAAGAAATCTGTTATGTATTGTTTATAAGATATATACATAAGTGACAACGACGTGTTACGTGTATGTGGTTAATGGTGCACGCTACTCACAACTGTATGAGCTCCTTGTTGTCCGCCTTGCATTCCTGAAGTATATCATCCGCCTCCAATACTTGTGACAAACTAACATTCTGAAACAAAAACCAACTCGCGACATTCATATTTACGAACACAGAAGGTCCACTTGCACTTCTCCACACTGTCCCATGACATCATTATAGGTCTATGACATGATTTACTATCACAAAAGAGATCACCTCCAACTCACCACCTCTAAATAATATCCAAATTCATCAAATCAACCACTCATAACCATCAATTTTTCATCTAAATACGCACCTCCTCTTTGAGAAGAGAATTCAACTCTCTAACTGCGATATAGTTGCCGCTCCAGAACATAGTTAAAATTAAGAAGTATACGATCTTTTATTATTCTAAATCCATATAAAACTTTATTATTTTACAAATTTTAGCGTTCCTGAGAATGCAACGATCCGTTTTCTTTTTGACGTTGTTGCCGGTGTTGCCAATGTTGCCATGAAAAATCTAGACATTTAGACACAAATAAAGTACCAACTAAACGCATTTAGTTAAGAATGACCCACGACAAAAAAAAATACCTTAAGGCCGTGTACTGTAAACGACACCACTGCGATGTCGTTTACAATTTTCTTTGTTGACACCACCGTAGTGAAGTTCTAACACAAAACTTATGTATTAATCGATATCAATTATTTTTCATTCCAAAGATCACGTCCATGACCATTTTAAATAGCTTTTTCTGGAAGTTTCCAGAAGTTCCTTTAAAGATAACAGATGAAGTGAAACAAAGATACGTTAAAAAATGAATAGTAACTGTTTAATATACGGATCAAGTTTTATAAACTAATTTAGTTGCCTTTTATTGTAATTTATGCAATAATTATGTTTTACGCATACCTGAGAACATTATTACATAAATAACCACTGAGAACATTATTACATACATAACATTATCATTAAAAATCAGCACGTAACGAATTGATTTATTTCACGTTGTACATCACTTGTCAGCTGTGGTGTCGTTAACAAAAAAAATATTGTTAAACAACACCCCAGTGGTGTGGTTCAGGCGAGAAGCTCTGTAGTCTAAACAGAGCCGTCATGGATGTTTTCTTGTCGACTGACACTAGTGGTCCTGAGCAGGACTGCTTCGGGAAGTATGTTATACATGCAAAACCTATACAACACATCAGAGCCTTTTCTCCCAAACTAAGTGGGTCGGCTTTAAGTCTGCTACGATACAGCTGAACTTCGATTTTACGCGGAGCGACAGTCGCGAGACCTCCACAACCCAACTACTAGGAAAGACTGCTTTCAGACTTTTTAGGGCTCCAACTACCCGTAACGCTAGTCGTTAAGAATGCTCACCCATCTAAAGACTGACCTGGCTATGATTGTAATGTCTTATCCTATTCGGTCACCACTTAGCCATGAGTCCCTACGAGCACAACAACACTGCATATGTAACTACTAGGGCTATATTCTGTCCGTCCAGTCTAAAGTAAAAGTGGATATCATTTCAGTCGGTTTTTGCAAAACTATTTACGTTAAAGTGTTGCAGGAAATTGGGTGAGACAAGACGTCAATTCTACCATTATATGCAACATTATAATAAATATGTTTAACAAAATTTAACTGATAATTGAGTTAAAATGAAAATTGGGTAAAAGTCATCGCATTCAGTGTGCAACTTGTCTGCTCTATCCATTTTTTTCATTTAGCTTCGATAGTAGGCGCTAGATAATAATGATAAACAAGCAGTCTTTTTAAAAAGAAAGGACACTCCCGCATTAGCAAAATATCCTGTGTCGCGGGGGGCTTTACAAACATACATGAAACGGACACAAAGAACACCCAGACTCAGAACAACAATTTGTGGATCACACAAAGTGTCGTCCTATGTGGGGATCGAACCCACAACACTCAGTTAAGTCGGAAGCGGCGTGGCGACCGCTTAAACCACCACGCCATCCGTGCAGTCAGTCTGCCAATACTGTTTTAATAGGTATTAAAGGCACTTTTGGCAGACTGCTTGATTACTTGTATTTTTGTGACAACTGTTACAATAAAAATAATACCAATAAAAATTTAAATATATCTTTATTTGTAGATAACATTCCATACATGAGGATGTCCGATCTAAGTGTATCTTTTAGGAGAATGATCGCCGGCAATATAATCTCGAAGTGACATGTATGGCATAAGTTCGACCTTCGATGGATCCTAGCCGATATAGGATAGGATCAAACAACAGAATTACCAGTTTTATAAGTTAAAGGACCTACGAGCAAAACTATTGCTACTGATCTCATGATCTTATTTCATCAATTTAAATACAAAACTACAATCTTAATGTTGTTATAAACAAGACCGATTAAGAAACACGTAAATAATTTAATATCACTTCAAATGATACAACCAGAGGATTTAATTTAGACTTTAATAAAATTAAGTTAAACTCGGAGTTGAATTGTAGAATATTTAAACTAAAGGTGGAGAAAGTTTTGTTCTTGCCTGATAGTGATTGGTTTTAAAAAAAATCATACAACCAATCAATAGTGTTTGTAATTTACGTAAGGAATTGAACATTTTATAAAGTGTTCTGCAATCAAATTTGAATAATGATATATTACAATCTTTGGAAAATAGAGACATATGACTGTGATTCAGAAGATTTAGACAGTAAATCGATTGATGGCTTACCATTCAATTAACAAAGAATTACTGCATGCTTATAAAAAATATGTATGTATTTTCAACAGTTATTTTTTGGCCTGCAACAACTGCATCGCCAGCGCCTCTGCCTCAGAAACAGAGAGGGACGCCGATATATCCTGAACTTTACGCATCTTTCGAGGAGCAAATATTTCCTGAGGGGCTCTCTCGGGTTCTACTAATTTCCTCTTAGCAGCTCTGCAACAAAAATTAAAATCGTTATAAAATAAGAATCTTATGTTTGTAATGTACCTCTGTCATAAAAATTACAATATTTAAAAAATACAAGAAAATCAACATTGACTACACGGATGGCATAGTGGTTTTCGCCGGTTCCTACTGCGTTGAGCATTGTGGGTTTGATCCCCCTATGAGACAGCACTTTGTGTGATTCACAAATTGTTGGTCTATATCTGGATCTGTTCCTAGTATTTGTTTGTTTAAAACACAATTTTAAAATTACATACACTCACGGATTAATAACGCAAGAGACAGACAGACAGAAGCGTGTATATGTCAAACAGGCACATTTATTATTATTATCTGTACAAACCAATATTGTAAACCCTATTGGGAGGGATTATGGTTTTCCTACTAGGAGACCCTACTCAGCACTAAAGAATATATTATTAGGCTAAGCTGCTGGTTTACTACAGTCCTTTGTATTTTAAGGGTAGAGGTACCCCCCCTAATTGCCAAATATTGATTTATTCCTCTTATCGTTTCAATTAAGTTAGACTTACTTGTGGAGCTTTTGGTCTATTTCAGATTCATCACCAGAACCTTCACCATTCGACGCTTCAGTTTCACTACCAACATCTGAATTGCTATCTTCTCCATCCGACGCAGCAGGTTCACTAGCAACATCTGAATTGCTATCATCTTTTTTACCATAAATTTTATCAGGGTCTGGCAGCCATGATAGATCTGGTCCATCGGACTCTGACTGTGATCCAAAATCATCCTTCTCTTCTTGCTCCTCTTTCTTTTTGTTTTTTAACTTAAGTTTTTCTGCCTTGTGTTTGGCTCTCACTTTTTCTCGGAACCTTATTACATCACATTTGTCTTCATCCCGTAGAAACTGTTTAAAATTGACAGACTCAAAAACTGCAACATCCTCATTATGAACCTGTTTTGCAAGATCTGATTTTACATCTCTCCTTTCATCTTCAACAGCATCCCCTTCCTCTGTAAACTTGACTGTTGTGTTTAGTTTAATGTTCCTTTTTAATAATTTCTTAACCACTGCAGCATTGGTAAGAGGCTTATCAATATTTTCCAACACAGTTGGCTCTGGTTCTACAGGTTCATTTCCAGGATCTTCATCAAGATTGTCCGTTTGCACGAAATTCTCGTCACCACTATCTGCATTACAATGAAAATCGAATTTGACAAAGTTGTCTTTTTTCTTCGGAGTTTTCATTTCTGGTGTGATCACAGGTGTATCATCAGCGTCACTAACGCTCTGGTCAGTGTCACCACCAGACTCAGTTCGAGATTTCAGTTTTCCAATTGCATCATCTTGGTCTTGTTCTATACTCTTCTGAGCATATTGCTGTTTTTTTAAAAATTTGACATGTGGTGGAATTATCAACCCTAAAGATCTAGCATATGCATCTGTGTCTAATAATTGAACATTAAATATTTGTTTATTTTTCATTAGAAATATTGACTTAACATAACTCATGAAAGCTCTCTTTGCACTCTGTTTAAGTTCACCGTCGTTTAGTAAAACTTCAATTTTCCGCTGCGGAGCTTGAACTTTGGATGGGTCTACAGCAATTTTTTGGATTGGAATTTTACTATTTTGAAGATCTTCTACAAATTTTTCTTCATGCGGCAACAACATTAGCAAACCTTCTCCCTTACCAAAGAACCCTCTGGCAGTTCGGCCAGCTCTATGAATGTAAGTGTCCACATCCTCAGGACAGTCCATTTGTATTACCCAATTAACTCGAGGAAAGTCAAGACCCCTAGAAGCCAAATCAGTAGCAAAGAGTACAACATTTGACTTTCTACAAAATTCCTTATATATTTTTTCTCGCTTCTCTTGATGAAGTGTGCCGTATAAAGCAAGCAGGCTGACACCTGGTCTTAGTTTACAAAACAGTTCATATATGTATTTAACCTGTTTACAAGTTGCCATGAATACTAACACTTTTTGCTTCAAGTGATTTCTTATAAAAGACCAGAGAATACCAATCTTTTCATCGACATCACACACAATGTAACTCTGCTGCAGTGATTCAGGTGTTACCGTAGCAGCCTGTTCATGAGGAGCAACGTATGTTGGAAATTTTAAACTGAGTCTAACAAGGTCTTTCACAGATTTTGTTTGTGTAGCAGAGAATAAAAGGGTTTGCCTTTCTGAAGGTAAATTTTCTATAATAGCATTCATTGTAGCCTCAAAACCCATGTCTAAACATCGATCAGCTTCATCCAAGACCAGGATCTGAAGGTGACTACAGTCAAATAAAGGGTTTTCATCCATATGTTGAAGGAGACGTCCCGGTGTACAAATTAATATATTCATCTGGTCCATTCGCTTTCTTTCAAACTTTAAGTTCTGACCACCAATAATGAGACCGGCTGAGAAGTCATGATAGTGACCTATTTTTCTGAGAGTCTCATATATTTGGTATGCCAACTCTCTGGTTGGCGATATAACTAAAGCACCTACACCATCCAATCTTGTCCATTTCTTACAAAACAAGCATTCAAGCATTGGAACTAGAAATGCCAATGTTTTGCCTGAACCTGTTTTAGCAGCTCCTAAGATATCTTTGCCTTGTAAAGCATATCCAATGGCCTGCTTCTGTATTGCAGTTGGGGTAACATAGTTGTTTTCCTTCAAGCCTTTTAGTGTCTTCTGGGATAGAGGTAAGTCTTTGAAGGAATCTATTTCATTTGGATTTATCTGAAATAAAAAGTTTATTAAATTATTATTAAAAATTATATACACCATAACAAACAGTATAACAAAAAGAAATTCAATGTTTGTTCGTACAAAATACATTTTACCATTCACCGATGATCATTAACTTTGCCAAGGATATAGAGAACTATGTCGGGATTCCAATACAAAATAGTAATAAGTACCCAGGGTTAGAAATATGGCTCTTGCGGCAGTGTTTCACTAGGGTAAGAGTCATATTTAGTAGTTTATACTAAATATTTAGTTGAATCTTTATGAAAATAATATACATTTACCAAATGTCACATGGCTTCAGTATAACTATTTGTTTATGATCGTTTAAATAGTCAAACATTGTAATTGTTGCGGGTTGAAAGAATATAAAGTTAATATTAGTCTAAAAAGAACATGCGATATAATATTAATGTTGTATTCATATATATATAATACCTTCTCGTACTGTGCCTGCAAATACTGTATAGCAGCATCCTCCTCGACGCTTTTCTTCTTCCTTGGTTTGTACAGCTTAATCTTTCTTCGGCCGCCTTGCTTTTTATCATCTTTCGTATCACTTTTCATTATGTTAAATCTTATTAATGAATAAACACGCGATATTTACAGTTGTAAGCATGGACTTGACGTTTACGGCTGACAAATACGTCAATGACTGACAGTCACTTCTGCAATGTTGCCAACAATTTAGATAACTCTCCATCAAATTTAAAATCTAAATTCTAAAACCACCAAAAACCGTTTAGGACATTCTGCTAACTGTACATCCTGCGAACTGAACACTTTGCGACCGCTGGACATTTTGCGACCATCGGACATTTTGCGAATTGGACATTCTGTGCCTAAAACCTCAAAATAGTATGATTTGTAATTAGTTAAGAAAAAGTGACGGCTAAACTCAACCTAAAAAAAAATGTAATGTTGCAAGCGTGTAAGCATGACGTTGTGATATAGCCCAACATAGTCGATTTACTGACTTTATCGATTAGCACTATTGATAGTGTCCGTGTGGTGACGGATTAAGAATACAGTGTCACTACCCCTATTCATCCCGTGGGTGTCGTAAGAGGCGACTAAGGGAGCAAACTACGCAGGACAATAGCACTGCAGAGAGAAGAAAAACTTGACACAAACCCTATACCAACCCGTCTGGCCAGCGTGGTGTAGTAGGCCAAAACCTCCTTTCTAAAGAGAGGCCTATGTCCAGCAGTGGACTAGTAAAGGCTGTTGATGATGTGATGATATTGTTTTTCCTGAATAATTTTCAAGCGAATTAAACGCGGTATTTTTGGCAAGGTTATTCTGTTGAGTCAGATTACAAGAGATCGATGTTAAATGTCAACAACGAAGTGTTTGGTCACAAAGTTACAAACATAAATAGCCTTCAGTAATGTAATACAATAAATTAATAATTATTATTGTTATGTATTATAATAACAATTGTAATCTACCACATCAGTAACATTGCTATCAGTTTTCCCTTTGGGGCAGTTAGTTTTCCCCTAAGTTTTTCTATATTTCCCTGTTTGTGGCTATCCTTTGTCATGTTATTCCAGCTATTCTTTTAATATCCTCCTCTCTCGAAATGCGAAATGCTTATAAAATATATGAGTAAATATATTTATTTATGTCGAAGGATACAGGTATAAGGGAAAGGTGGTGCAAGGCGATGAGAAGAGGGAATGTATTGTGTTTAAATGTTATGTATCTTGATTGAGTGAATTACACGTTAAGGCATGATAGGAATGTTACTTTTCTTTTTTTGTTATGTATATATAAATATATGTGTGTATATATATTTATTATGTTATTCTAATTTTAAATCTATAGATAAATTTACAAGTCATTATAATAATATGTTACCATTTTAATCTAATACATACATTTAAGTTACATTTATTATTATTTTTTATTCAAGTCAGATCATATAACCCGCCCCGCGTCGCTCCCGGTGCAAAGGTGCCCATGATACTGGCAGCATTGCCTCGCTGAATTGCAACGGACATTCTTTGCACTTATTTATCTGCACATACCTACTTGTTTTTTAAAAGGCCTCAACATAAACATAACCTAATTTATGAAAAATTCATTAAGATATTCTCAGAATCCAGTACATAGGTATTTATCCATAAAAGTATTGCCTATGAATGAAAACATGTAACTTATTAGAGTAACACGAAAGTCTGAAACTATTTTTTTTTACCTTTCTAATTATTTCTAGGTTTCAGATTGATAAGGATACAGAAAAATATACGTATTTGTGATGATCACGATGATTGTGATGAATTGCATATTGGTTGTATTATTTTCCTTCTAACCTCAAACCACTAAGTATTCTTAACATAGCATTATTATATAATATAATTTTTTAGTAGTTTTAATCTAAGCAGAGCTTGTAATATGACTGCTAGAGAACTTAGATACTTTTTTTTTGTAAATGCATACATGTTATATATAGAAATCACCCAAACTTTGAAACAAATATTTGCAAATCATACAAACATTTGGTCTGATCTGGGATTAAAACCCGAGACCTCATCACAGCAGTCGCCGACGCTCCCACGGCGCTACCGAGGCAGTCAAGATAAAAAAATACCCTCATTCGATTCCTCTGCTTGTTTTTAATTACATTCTTCCTGCTAAATACTCTCTCAACATTGGTATTAGAATAATCCCTCAAATCTGAAATTCTCTTGGGCATCTTTAAAGTGCAATACTTCCAGTATATGGAAGTTCCTAGATACGATGGGCATTGGTAGACAACAACGTACCGAGTTTCGAACGACCATTGGTTTGAATGATATCAATCTTCATTACCCTTCTGCTCCTCAACTGGATCATCGGATTCGGACCTTGAACCATATCGCCCAATGTTAGGTATTGTCAACTTTGAGTTTTCCCCAGTGCCTTCTAGGACATCAAAAAATGTCCCTTCTAAAGCAATGGGTGGTGATGACTTTTTTGGATTACGTTTTTGAAGTTATAACCCACATTGTTGACTTTTCTCTCGACTCCGGCAACTTCCCCTCTCTCTCTCTGGCACAAAGCCTACATCATGCCATTGCCTAAAATTAATAATCCTTCTCTTCCTGAGCACTTCATTATCTCTAATCTCTATCTTTCCAGTCCTATCAAAGGGTTTTGAGGTTTGCGTACATAAACAGTGCTTACTTCTGCAATATATTACTACCAAATCAGTAGAAAAATCCAGTAGCCACTAAAAGTAATATTTCCCCACTAACAGGGGGGTTGAAACCACAGATTAGTATAATGTAGCAAGATTTCTGATTTAGTGGAAAAGCCACTAGGCTCGCAACATTGCACTTTTGGATTTATTGTTAATTACCATTTAAAACTGATACTATTGTTTTTATGAATACAATGAAATTAATATTTTTAATGAAATTTTCAAAAGAATATCCAAATAACTATATAACTTCAAACAGCAAATCATACTAAAACTAACGTTTTTAAACTAAAGTAACCAGGTATTTATTGGTTTTGTCAACAGGCATCCCTTTTTATGTTTGGCTAATGACATTTTGTATTCTGTGGTCAGCATTACGAAATGAATGAATAGGAGGAACGCGTTGAATCATTGCGCATAAACAATTGTGTCGCGGTCGCTATAAGTCGTTTCTGAGTTCTTTACACTTATTTTGCTAACGTATTTTTATTATTTTATTTTAAGGAAAGCAGTAAGTATACAAAAGGTAAGTTCGGAGTTTTATTATATTTCTTGGTATTCTCGATTATTCTCATTAGTTCAATGTTTTTTTTTATGAATCTGCTGGCTCCTTTGTGTTACAGTTACCTCCCAGTATTTTTTTGGCAATTGTTTTTTTTTTTGTAAGTTTCTCTACATTAATGCCAAATATCATATAAGATGTACAATCATGAAAAAAGGTTTTTTTTTTACTATTCGCAACTAAACATTTTTGGCAATTTAGAGTAGAAAGGTTGGTTAACATTAAAAATATTGTCTACGTTCATTTTACAAAACAAGGTCGAAATTATTTTTTTTTAATTCATATTAAAACCTCATACTAACTTACTACGGCAGTATTATTAATCATGTTTTGATTATGGAAAAAGGATCTTTTAAAAATTGTTCTTTATTTTAAATAATTTAGGCATTTGATCCGAGATATAGGTGCACTGCAAACATTTCGTAAAGTGGAACTATGTATTAAAGCTTATTTTTTTTAATATAATTTCGTGCATTTTGTGTAACAAAGACCCTTGTTAAAAGACGAACTAATTGTACGACGCAATATTACTTAGGACTCGTTTTAACTTCCGTTTGTTTGTCACGTATCTACGCGATACCAGGTAAATTACAATTTGTATTTTAGAGCAGGGTCTTCTGGATGTTTAAGTATTCATTCATCGAAATGGGTGTTCACACTTTGTGCCCTTTCTTGTGGTTCGAGCACGATTACAATTTTAAAATAAAATAATGGTATTGCAGAAAGTAATATTTACTTTTTGTTTGTGTACTTGTAGAGATTAAATCTTTGAACAGTAATAGGTACCGCGACGATTAAATAGCTTACACTATGTATATGTAGTGTGATAGAAAAAAATATTTTAACTTTATTAAATGAAGTAAAAAAAAACAAGTTCTAAATTAATTACGAACCGGTATTTTTTCTATTTTATGGATTTTCTATATATTTCGTTATTAGTTTATTACTTATATTTTCTATGCTGTATTTAATTGTCAACTTATATACTTATCTAAACAATCTAAATTAACACTTGGGGATAGAATAACAGCTCATGAGCGCTACAAACTGTAGCGCTTAATAGTACGTATGTACCACAGTTTACAAGATATGTATCTACAGTATCTACGCCAATTTAACCCAGTATGTTAAGCCTTCACCATTTGTGGACAAATTGTTTTTTTTTTAATTCAAAGTTAAATAAGATCTTTATTTAAAATCTTTGTTTTTAAGTTTATAAAAAGTATTTATAACAAATTACGATTACAAAAAACTAAGGTGATTTGATAGCGGACCGAACTATAAGGTAAATAAAAACTAGAAAAAAGTTGCATTGTAAAAAGCGTGGGATTCTTGACGTAGAGGCACCATTATAAAAAGAAACGTTATTTAAAAAGATGCTTTATCAATTATATATTTACGTATTATTATTGTGGTATTGTTCTGATAACAATAGAAGACTAAAAAATGTTAAAGTAGAGATGATTTAAAAGTCGAGCTAACATAAAAATGTGTAAAAGAGCATTCTACATATATGACCCTAGTATTTATAGATACTTGAAGTGCGTCACAATAAATCATCGCTGAACACCGATCAGCAATATTTGATTAGAATTGTTAAAACGTACTATGTATGTAAATAAGCTATACATTTAATGATCTCATCTTCGAATCACTGTACAATAGTAAAATGACCTTTGTATGAGAATAGTATAATAGTGACAGTGCGCCTTTGTCCACAGACACAATGAGAAGTATAGCTGTGGTGCTGTGCCTGGTGGCAGCGGCCAACGCGGTCTCCTTCTTCGATCTAATCAAAGAAGAATTCCACGCATTCAAGGTACTAAGTATAAAACATTTGCAAGTCTTCTATATTCTTAATCCTAGTTGTATCATTATTCCTCCAAATCGTGTGGAGGTACTCTATGTATCATCAGTAGTGTGCAAGAACCTGTTCTATTTAATACAGGGATAGATACCCATTTAATCACTTCAATTGACTGTTCCCGTGTAGTTGGAACACAACAAGTCCTATGACAGCGAAGTGGAAGACAAGTTTCGCATGAAGATCTTCGCCGAAAACAAGATGCGCATCGCCAAGCACAACCAACGCTTCCAGCAAGGGCTCGTCTCCTACGAACTCAAGCCGAACAAGTACGCCGACATGCTGCACCATGAATTCGTTCACACCATGAACGGATTCAACAAGACCGTCAAGTGAGTTAAACAACTGCAATTTACCAACATTATATTCTTAAAAGTTAACGAATAAATACTATTTTACAAAATTTTACCTTAAACAATTTTCTGTTGGGTTCATTTAAAAAAAAAGATTGAATTACGCAAGCAAAACAATAAGTTAGCATACAAAATGCATGAAAAATGTTTTACACAAGTATAACTTTTCAAGTTTATAAAATAATATAAATCACGATAGTTGTTGACATCAATCATCATTACAACCCTCAACTTGTAATTGCTTTGAAAAGATGTTCTAACTTTTTTAATTCATTAACTTTGATCAGCCGTCCTTTGTTTGACACAAAAAAAAAACAAATTAGGCGGGTATAACATGAATATCTGACAGCGTATAAACATTAGGAAATTATTACTTTAAAAAGTCAATATCACCTTGAGAATTTTTATTCGAGGCATATACTCATTCACGGCTGTTGTGTTGATTAAATTAAAAGTATTTGAAATTCGTTAAGAATTGTGCGATAAGTTTGTTATTTTTAAAGTTACGCGTCAAGTTTACATTAAAACACAAACTTGTTATGCATCAAAACAGTATCATGTTATTGCCGTATATTATTTCCGTCATAGGTCGTTGATATCGATATCTGCCGCTCTCGTGACAGATAAATATTCGCAGACGTAGCCGCACTGTAATGTGTAGGGTCAAACGAGTCAATGTCAATTTTTTAATGTTTTCCAAATAAAGCAGAATCGGTTACATGTCTCGGCTTTATGTATGGAAGATAACGACACTTCTAAAATATTATAAATATTTATGATAGGCTAATGTAAACAAAGAATCGACATACGTTTTTGTACTAGGTGTTGTGTACAACTTTATATTACAAAACGAATTTATAGAATGCTACATTTTTTAAACAATGTGTATAGTAAGCCAAAACCTCCTTTCTAAGGAGAGGCCTATGTCCAGCAGTGGACTATTAAAGGCTGTTGATGTGTGATGTGATATTGTTTAAAAATATAGCTATTAAAATATCCTATACATGTGTATACTTATGTTGTATATAAAAGTAATATGTATAGAAATACTTTTCACATAATTATAAATAAGTATGTACATACGTAACAATATAGTCAATCACGGCTAGCCTGGTCTAATTAAAGCTGGGTTGCTTGTGGTAAGCTGTTACCAGTGCTTATAAATCCTCTTAATATCAGTTGTCATTAGATAACGAAGCTCTTTACAACTTCTTACTGCTGTGTCCTATGACTGGAAGTGCTTTCGTGTTCCTAGTGTTCCTCTGAGCAGGACATAAATCTTTCAAACTCGTTCCAATTTCTCCCAAATAGTTGTTTTAGTAAACACTCCATACATGCACATACAGTTTTAAAATATCTCTATAAATGTACTCGTATTCCTTAATAGCTGAGCATTTTAATAATGCACGTGGGACCCGCTATTTCTATCGATTTGCAGTTTTGGTTACTTCACCGAGTGTTAGGTTTATAAATTAAGTTCATAATAAAAAATATTCACACTATTTATTGTATGAAAAATATTTTGATGAGAAATGCATAATGAGCGTTATTAGAAAGCTTCCTAATGAATTAAAAAATATTAGCAGTCGCATAATGGTTTTTAAATCATCAATCATACCTGAAGTGCCGAATGTTGTAGACCTAAGTTCGATTGTAATTAATTGTAACCTGTTAATTTGCCTCTAGACATAAGGGCCTGCTCCACGCCAAAGGCCTAAACAGCAAGGCGGCGACGTTCATCCCCCCCGCGCACGTGAAGTACCCCGACCAGGTCGACTGGCGCAAGAAGGGCGCCGTCACCGACGTCAAAGACCAGGGCAAGTGTGGCTCTTGCTGGTCCTTCAGTACCGTGAGTATACCCGGAATAAAAACTATCTATTGTACAATTCTTTTATCCGAACTACTTTTGAAATTGGTTTTTATATTGAAATGTTGAGCACAGCATTGTTAGTCAATAAATTTTACTGACTTAATATTTTTCTCAATACAATTTAAATGTAGGTGAGTACTATCTTAGTAAAAGTATTTTAATTTTGTTATAGACTGATATGTAAACATATATATACTAGCTGACCCGGCAAACGTTGTTTTGCCATATACATAATTTCCAAGAAATATTGAAAAAAAAATTTAGGTATGGGTCACCCTTGTCATTTAGGGATATGAAAAATAGATGTTGACCGATTCTCAGACCTACCCGACGTGCACACAAAATTTCATAAAAATCGGTCCAACCCTTCCAACCGTCCAAACGTCCAACCCAACCCATCGGTACAACCAAAAAACTCCCAACGGAGGAGTATGGTAACTAACATTGTGACACGAGAATTTTATATATAAGATATATTAGAAATTGTAAAAGAAGGCATAAAAATTGACTTAGTGTTTTTCGTTTACGGATTATGAGTAGGTACACTAAATGTTTTCCTTAAACAAACCGGTACTAGGAGAGTTCAACTACAGCTGCGGGGAAACCCTATTCGATATAAATAGGACTTCGCGAATTAATTGCACTTGATTACTTTGATCGGTGCATTTCTCTCTGTGCGCGTTAAACATTCAGAAATACTTTTAATTGTAAAGAAAGTTTTCATGTTTTCTGTAGTAGTTATACAATACATTCGTACACAAATATGTATTTAAATGTGCATAATGAATTGAATCGATAGTATATTTGATTTTTATTTCAATTACGCTTTAATTAATCTTAATACGCGTTCCACGAGCCATCAAATCGATAAAATGAGGTGTGTGTAGTTTTAAAGTCTCTAAGTCCCGTCAAGGCCAGGCCGTCGGACGTGCGTCTAACACCATTACTGATGATGACGTAATCCTTATTAATGTTATTTTAGACTACATTTTACCCACGGCTTCGCTTGCGTTTATGTAGTAATGGTTATCTACTCTATTATACGTAGTAATGTGTTTGCACTGCTGCTTGGTTATACCTACTATGTATATATACTCACACCTGTGTATATCCCTAAAGATCTAGGCAGCGTATTAAAACGACCACATTTTATCGACTAAAATTTCAGTTCCATTCTTAATAGGGCCAAGCTTTTTGCCGTCTATCGCACACGAGATTGATAGGAAAATTGAAAGTAAGGGTGTTGTGGGGAAGTGCTAAATAGGTAGTAGGTAGAACAGCTCGGGGTTTCAGACCAAAGAGGCTCTTAACGAGGCCTATGTCCTATCCAAATTGGCTGTATGGCAATACAAATCTTTTATCTGTAGTGTAACAAAACCATTTAGTCTTATCTCAAAACATGTCATTTGAAATAAAAATAACACTACGCTTTAAAGAATTACACGTAATTTAATCTTGTAAACATTACTTAATTGGCACTAAGTGTAAGTAGGTATGTATAGATAAAGATAATTTGAATGCATAATGAGTAAGTGTAATCAATATAAATTGGACGAACAAAGGGCGGCTAGTCGGACTGATTGTGATTACTGATTCAACATTTGATCAAAGGCCTTTGTTCGTCGACGAGAATGTGGGCCGGCCATTGTCGCACATTATAATAGTTTTATCGCTCCGAGAACTCATTGCGCCGGTATTGCGTGAAAACTAAAGATATCGGAACATAACTCGATGTCATCCTTAGAAACGTTTTCTTCCTTCTTATACTTAAAAATTAAACAAACATATACTATCCATACTAACATTTTAAATGCGAAAGTGTGTCTGTCTGTTACATCTTCACGCTGAAACCGCTGGACCGATTTGTATGAAATTTAGTATAGAGATAGTTTGAGTCCCGGGAAAGGACATAGGATAGTTGTTATCATCCTTTAAGCGGAGTGAAAAGGGGAGGGGGGTGGAAGTTTGTATGGGGAATCAATAATCGCTAAAAAGATTTAGATGAAATTTCATGTGGAGATAGTTTTGAGTTGCTGGTAAGAACATAGGTTACTTTTACCACGACATACGCGCGCGCGGACAAAAACTAGTTGACCATTTGGGAGTAGGCAGAGACGTGCTAAACGCCCATGTTTCTTTATAATTTAGTACCACTTAGGCAAGAGGGGCCAAGGCGTTTTAATGCCGTGAACCGACCACTGTAGGACTGAGTTGGGGCAATTAGCAGTAAATCTTAAAGGAAAGATAAAATCTGTGTTGTTTATTAACAGCCTTCTCTGTTTGCACTTCAATACATAGTATTTAAGCAAATGCCGTTTTCATTCAACATTTTTCTTAAAGAAATTGCGGTGAATGTGTCTTGTGAGTGCGTCATCTGTCTACTACTGAGTTAAAATTGTTCAAAATAAGTTGTTTCATAATATTTCTTCGGTGTGGTATTCATGGGTACATCATGTTCACAGTAAATACCTCAGTACTTTTTTCATCGAAATCTTTTTATTTTCCTCTATTCTTTGCTTAAATGTTTAAAAAGGCTTTATTTTTAAGTGTAATCCTAAGTTATCTTAATAAAAACCAATTGAAAAAAATAACCTAGTAAGGAGTAAAGTTTTTGTAGTAATTTATAATTAGAAAAAATATCAATCTGTAGGTATCTGAACATCTGTATTGATAAGTACGCGTTTAAAGAAAACAGGTTACTTGAATAACCTGACGACCTACATTGTATAACAAGTTTACATGATGTAGTCCTGGCAACACCGTTACTCATTCGGCACGATAACGCCTATCTTGTGCACAGAACATGTGGAACAAACATCTGCGCACAAAACAGACAAACTGAAAAACTGCAAGTATTTAGTTTCAGCCATTTGTTTGTGGTAAATGTTTACTCATGAGGGGTCGCGCCGATGTCGATGAATCACGTGTAAGGTTCAAATCGATTGTTTATATTTTACAACTGTGTTCGTTATTAAATCGAATGATTCACTCGCGATACGGGACACAGAATAATTAGGTTTTATATATTTGACTCATTAACACTCAATCAAATGTAAATAAATTTTGCATGCCTTGAGGTAGACTGTTGCTGCTGCTTTTAATTAGAAATTCTATTCAATAAATTGATTACTATATGGATTGAATAATTGATTGATTGAATAGGTTTTGGGACAGTTATCCCGAAAGAGTCCATTACTATGCTTGATATAATTATGGGTGTTTGGGAGTAATGTTTTTGATTTTGTTTACTTACTAAACCTAGTAACTACTAAAATAATTTATATCACCTATGTAGTGAATGTAGTTAGTTGGAGTAAAATCCATCAGGCGTAAATAAATATACAAAATTTCAAATTGTTACTACGTACTTGAATATAACTCTTTGTTACGGTAGGTAGACACTTATGCAATAATTTTCCTTGTTGGGTATAATAATTTATCATTTACCGGTCATCGCAACGGAGCGGCTTGCCGGCCAATGGTTATGTTTGCTGAGATTATGTGACTCCTCCGGTCAAGTTTACTGACGCAAACAAGCCGTGAATGAACTCACAATAATCAGCCGGTGACAAATTATCAGTAACTAGCTTTGCCTGCATAACATTCGCATTTATAAGTAGTATAGTAAGATGCATCTTATAATATATAATAATATAGCTTTATAAAAATTTAAAATTCCTCGACACACATCTTGGATTTGAAATTTGTCACAGTGTATAGTATTCTAATAGTCGAGCCCTTTCATTTGATACATATTGAGAAAGTTGTGAAAAAACATGTAATCCGCCATCTTGGACCGATTTTCATCAAACATAGCTAAGAACACACCCAACTAATTCCCTTACAAACAAAAAAAAACAAAATCAAATTCGGTTCATCCGTTCGGGAGCTATGATGCCACAGACAGACACACACACGACACGTCATACTTATAACACCCCGTTGATTTTGCGTCGGGGTTTAAAAATAACTTAAGACTAAGCTAACTTCCTATTTATATAAGTGGCAAATGCTATAAGGCTTTCACCTGTATCTAGCTGATTCATAACACAGTGGTTTAATCCATTAAATTATGTAAATACTAAACTGATAAATACTACATGTATTTATTATACAAACGTATTAGGAAAATATGTTTTAGAAGTAATAACTATCAATGTAGGTACAGATTATGTGCGCTAGGTGTGAGCAACTGATTTCTTTCCTCAATAATTATTTTCCCCGTATCAAACCCATTGGTTATGTAAAATAAACATCGAATCGTAAATAAAACCACTTAAGTATTATTTTGTTATCAGTGTTGAGAAAAACTCTTACACAGTTCGTAAATATTTTTCAGAGAAACAAAATTACCTTCAATAATGAATTATAACATAAAGTGCGATATTTCGATAGTTACGCTGTAATTAAAAACAGTAAGCGAACTTTTGTCGCTGTTTGAAATAAATATTTGATTAGTTATCAATACAATCAATTTATTGGCTGTTGATTTCGTTTATTGCCCGTACTTGTTTATATGATAAAATTAATGAATAGTAGGTAATTCGTACAATTAAATGTTGAAGGTATCAAATATTATTTACTAACATTTCTAATAATAAATTGCAATAATTTACTTTCCACCATTTGATCTTTGGATGTTGCAGAAACGTTGCAACAGGTTTAGACGTTGTAATTTTATTTAAACTTTTCTTTATAATAAAATAGAGATTTATAAAATCATGGCGATAGCGCCACAGACGCTGTCTGCTTCTGTTGCGCCGTGATTAACCAATCGGAGCTACGTCAATTCCCGTTCAGTGCAAATTATATTTAACATTGGTCTTGTTTGTCTTGAACCCATAGTACAATTTACATATAAATACGTGTATTTATTATACTTGCATGTAAACTTTATGTCGGATACAATTTCTAGAATTCTGTTGGATGTATTTAGATGTTTCACCATCCAATGTTTGTCGATAGACCGGTGCCCTGGAAGGCCAACACTTCCGCAAGACTGGATTCCTCGTGTCGCTCTCTGAACAGAACTTGATCGACTGCTCGGCCCAGTACGGCAACAACGGCTGCAACGGCGGCCTCATGGACTACGCCTTCAAATACATCAAGGATAACGGCGGCATCGACACCGAGAGGAGCTACCCCTACGAGGGCATCGACGACAAGTGCAGGTGACAGCTGGCCATTCAAACTCACCGCCACTTCAAACAGATATTCATATATTACATCATCAGTATCTTCCTAGCCTTTTTTCGAATTTCGTTTGAAGTTGTCACAAAATGTAACGTTTTTTACGTGTGGCAACCTCCTCGGGCCGTCACCCCACCAGGGTTTGCGGTGGGGCGGTGTGTCGGAATCGAACCTACTAAAACCACACGGTTGGCCACTCTGCTCCTAAAATAGGAAGGAACCAGGTGCAGCTGTTATAAAGAGACCCGGACCTCTCCTAGCATTGTACAAAATTATGCCAACCTTTTGGAACATCGACATTTTGGACGAATCAAAGAATATTAAAACATACATATAATATATGTACGTTTACATAATATACTCGTATAAAATCTACCTACAACGAGTCCTTGTATTGTCTGAATGTCATGTCACTTATTTAATTATTGACATCAGTTTTGATGCCGTTACCAATACATATAGCACTTCGTTTGATTAATATTTTAAAACTCGTCTACGTACTGTTACACAAGTTAAAACAAGTGCTGGTATTATTACTTATAAATCTTCTTTTTGTAAGCATCTAACCTAGCTAAACTATCGTCATCTCGTTCATAAGACTTCTAAAGCTGGGCAGCCTCCCTCTCGATGACTTCCGTAAAGTCTGTTGGAATCGTCCTGCAGCAGTCCGTCGATCTGCGATCTTTATAAGATCCCTGTGCACCTTGTTGGTGGATGTCCTAAGCTGTGGTTTTGGGACCTGGTGGTCTACACCACGGCTGTCGGCCATCTATTCTACGCTGCTATGTGGCCTGCCTTTTTTCTTATTCGTTGGGCTAAGTCGGTAATCTCCGTTCGTTTGTGTCCTCATTTCCAATTTGACCTCTCTGAGAAACCTGGAGCATATAACCCTCTCGACATTCTATACTAAACTGTGTATGCTTAATATTTACAAAATATCTTCGTCACGGATCAGGTACAACCCTAAGGACAGCGGTGCTGATGATGTGGGTCTAGTGGACATCCCTAACGGAGACGAGGAGAAGCTGATGCAGGCTGTGGCTACCGTAGGCCCCGTGTCCGTCGCCATCGACGCCTCGCAGGACAGCTTCCAGTTCTACTCCAAGGGGGTCTACTACGACGAGAACTGCTCCTCTGAAAACTTGGACCATGGAGTGAGTATACCTCTATATATTTTATGCTCAAAAAACATTTTCTGTCTTAATTTGGGTTATTTACGATTACTAAAAAAATGTTAAAGTAATTTTTTTTATATATTTATACATATATTTCAGCCTTTGAATCATACTTTCAGGCTGCACGGTTGGCGTAGTGGTTTAAGTGGTGGCCACGCCGCTTACTACTACGCGGAGTGTTGTGGGTTCGATCCCCACATGGGACGACACTTTGTGATCCACAAATTGTTGTTTTGAGTCTGGGTGTTCTTTGTTTCATGTATGTTTATAAAGTCCCCTGCGACATATGATATATTCCTAATGTGGGAATCGTCTTCTTAAAGATTTTTTTTTAGATATTAGTTAAAAAGAAAATTTATTGGGTCCAACTCAATCGTAAGCGTAATGAACCATAACCTGAACTAAACACAGACATAATTTCCTCTGTACCTACAATTAGCGTTGTGTATTTACTATATTTACATTTTTTTATGAAAATCTAATACATTTTTGTGAATTTTCTGGGACATATATATTTAGTATTACATTTACCTATATTTATTGTCTCATATTCGTAAATCAACGCATGAAGCATCAAGTCTAATTGTACTAATTAAATTAAATGAATGTCTTGTGTCCTTTAATATATGTTAGTAGAACAATAATGAGTAGCACGCTGATAAAAAATCGGTTTGAGTAGAGACATCTCTGGCTTATCGCATCTGGCGACTCGTGATAGTCGATAACCTTTCTATATCGCGACACCTCCGACACTTCTGATCGCTAATTACAAAGAAATTGGGTCAGTTAATTATTAATTGAGATTAATAACCAGCCATGATATAATGTATTGACAACAGCGACAATAGTATTTTTACATAAAATAACGTGTAAATATAAAGCTTTACATCGCACAGTATTGCCAAGGTAGAAAATTAGCGGTAAATTTGACAATTAGATTTTCCTTCAAACTATTCGCTATAAGCAAATAAAGGATTTTAAAAGGCGGTCATAAGACTATTTGTATATATTTTTTTTCCTTTAAAAAAAGACAACTCCCGGATTAGGAATAAATCCTGTGTCGCGGGGGACTTTACAAACATACATGAAACGGACACAAAGGACACCCAGACTCAGAACAACAATTTGTGGAACACACAAAGTGTCGTCCCATGTGGGGTTTAAACCCACAACATTCGGCGTAGTAGAAAGCGGCGTGGCGACCGCTTAAACCACTATGCCATCCGTGCAGTCAAATTTATATAAAACTCACGTAGTTAATCGATTTAATCGCAGCACATATAGTAGATAATAATTGATTTGTTGTACCTTAACCTTAGTTTGAGGGAATGATTGATTGTCGCGATGTATTAACGTACGACGACCGTGGCGCAGGTGCTGGTGGTGGGGTACGGCACGGACGAGGCGGGCGGCGACTACTGGCTCGTGAAGAACTCGTGGGGCCGCACGTGGGGCGACCTCGGCTACATCAAGATGGCGCGCAACAAGAACAACCACTGCGGCATCGCCACCTCCGCCTCCTACCCGCTCGTCTAGCGCTCCCGCCCCCGCCCCCGCCCCCGCTCGTTAGGTGCATGTAGGTACACCGAGACAAACCGACTGTTTGATTTGTCTATACTAAATTAGTATTCAGTTATTCCAAATAAGGTCCGGCGAAATGTGTAGACCACTCAAAAATAGGCAATCGACGTTAGACTTTTGCCGGACTGTATAAATATTATGAATATAATACAATAATTAGCAAATGTAATGCATTATTTGTTAGTATCACGCCACGGCCATGACACGCGCAGTTTAGTGTGGAAGTGTCTCACTATCACATGTTGTAACTTAGTGTCTCTTGCTCATTATGTGTTAAGATAAGTTTAGTGTTAAGGGTAAAGTTTATACTGTTCGTGTTGAGCGACTTTTGTGATAAATATAGTAGCTGTCACGCTTGTAACGGTGAGCTAAATATAAATAATTTTATAAACACTTGTGTTTTTGTTTCCTGTTCCCCGCGACCAATACCTACGCCTGTTAATGTAGTAACCATTTATGTATAAATAATATCAGTCCATATTGTACAAAATTTAAAAATAAGTACAAGTGGGAAAATAATAATTGTAAGTTCAAATTAGGCCAAGCTTGTACTATGTAACCAGACTGCTGATAAATATACTTATATATTACTAAATATATACATATTACTATAGCTGAATTTGGCCACCCAATCACATAACAAATGATGCTCATCACAATTGTTTGTTCTGGTTGAGAATCGAACCCACGCCCTACGGCTCAGCAGTCATCGTCACTAACCACTGTAGTACGTTTTCCTCTAGCATTGTATGTATGACTTTACATCAGTATATTTAGGTACAATCATGTGCACTTCACAATCAACGAGTAATCGGTGTACATACATAAAAAAAATATACCAATCGAATTGAGAACCTCCTCCTTTTTGAAGTCGGTTAAAAACAAAAACAAGTTTTTGATACAAACCCTAAGTGATATTATAAGAACAAAAGTGAGGTGGTTGGTCACACTCTCACGCGTTAACTACTCGAGCGATCATCGTGAGATGTTCCACGCGTGTCATCGGGAAAACGACACAACACATCTTCATGCAGAATAAAAAATAAGCTCCGAGTGTTTCCGCGACAAACTGAATTGATTAACAGCAGAGAATTCGCGGCGAAATTGATATAAATGTTATTGTTTCGGTGCGCGGTTGAACTCGCACAGGCGCGTGCAGCGTGCAGGTGAGTGTAGCCTTGACCACGTAGTGCCACAACTCACTGCACTCGCTAATGGCATTGAAACATCGCACATCTAACAAATAATAAAGTACTTTTATTTAGATTTGTATTTGGCGGACCTGAGGTGAGGGAAGGAGGGGTCATGTTTGCTCCTAAACCTGGTTTGGTCTAGTTCATTTTGTTGTGAGTCCTGACTACACAAAAATGATACCCCTAAGTGAATACCTGGATTAGCACCTGATGGAAAATTCGTATGGCCATTTCTGAGTAGGTTACAACAATCCCAATGACACAGTTCCCGATAAGTGTAACATCATCAGAATCAGACGCTAAGGGACCAACGAGACTATAAAATACAAGGACATTTATATTATACAAGATTCATGGGATCTTTTTTTCGAGGATTGTTTATTTACTTGCTGCAATAATTTATTGCAAAACAAAGCAACTTTTTGTATATAAAATATAATCATAATACTTATTTTGTAGATTAAAATTGAGTACCGAGTAAGGAAGTTATTACTATTAAAGTGGGCGTTAACGTTTAAGTCGAGATTACTAAGTTTACTGATGACATAGGAGCACTGCGATTCAAAACGCTTGAACTTTCTATCCAATTAAAGATTTATACAAGATACATTTCATTTTATCATGAACAGAGAAAGTGAAATCATTGTTGTTGAAATAAATTAAATTTATAATGATTACATTTACACGTAAGTATAAATACGTACCCGATTAAAATCATTTATTTCAACTGCACCAATTAAAACAATTTTTGAATTGTCAGGAGTAGGAATTCCCTATCATGAAGAGTTATTGCATGTTTAAATACGTAGACCCTACGGAAAGAACGCCGCTTGCAACGAATTTTATCATTTCAACAACGAACATCATTTTTCAACATTTTCATCACTTTTTTCTGTTAAATTGTTTTTATTTATAACTGAAAATGATATGCGGGAAAAATTTAATCAGACTTGTTAATAAATTACCCACTTCAAGTCAATGAGCATTGAGGAGTAGGATTCATACTTAGATACCTTTTTTTATGTAAGAGGTAGCAAACGAGCAAACGGGTCACCTGATGGAAAGCGACTATCACCGCCCATGAACGCCTACAACTCAGAAGTCACAATTAGTAGAAGTATACTATAATACATAGTTATCTATTTTACAGTTACAAACATTTCTAATAATACCTAGGTACTACTCACAGATAACCCCCTAAGGGGGGTATTCTGTGGCACTACTATACACTGTGCGCTTTTCAAGACACTGTTTGTGTCGCACAGCTAATCTGTGGAACAAGTTATCGTCTGCGGTATTTCCGGAAAGATACGACCTTTAAACCTTTAAGAAAAGAGCGTACTCCTTTCTAAAAGGCCAGTAACGCGTTTGTGACTCCTGAGGCGTTCATGGGCGGTGTTAGTGACTTTCCATCAGGTGAACCGGCTGCTCGTCTGCCCCCTTTTACATAAAAAAAAAACTGAGAAAGTGTGTTTTTTTATCTTGGCAATTTCAGCAATACATACATCGCTTAATCGGTTATAAAAACGGAAAATTGGCTGTATTTCCGACTATGTCTTTAAATATAGTTAAGTGACCTTAAGTATAGTAAGTATATACCTAGTTGATGCTCCTATATAAAAGATGATTCAAGGAAGTCGTTAAGTTGTAAATTAAAAGATCGTCAACGTAATTATAAATGTAGATGAGCAACTTCAAAATAAAAGAAAGCTTTTATTTCAATAAGTTTTAATTATGAATGGATTTAAACAGGTTTTGTGTTTTATCACCTATTATATTATATTTACACCGTTTGTAAACCGTTGTGGACATTACATGAAAGTAACATGCATCGATAATTTTTCTTTTCAACGAACATGTAATACTCGTTTCAGGTAGTTTTCAACAGTGTGTTTATTAAAATTCGTTCCCTCAAAACATCCAGGTGACCGTATTTACTCTGAAGATAAGCTTTATTCTCAAGTCTTTTATGAATTAAATAAATCCAAATACATACATTTATGCTGTAAATGACATACGGAGCTGAAACGAGGACACTTACGGTACGGCTGGTCCACAAGGTCCAAGTCGCTCAACGTGCTATGGAAAGGGCTATGCTCGGCGTTTCTCTAAGGGGTCGCATCAGAAATGAGGTGATCCGGCAGAGAACCAAGGTCACCGACATAGCCTACCGGATCAGCAAGCTGAAGTGGCAGTGGGCTGGCCATATTAGCCGCAGAACCGACAACCGTTGGGGAAAACGAGTTCTTGAGTGGAGACCGCGTCTCGGTAAACGTAGTGTAGGACGCCCACAGGCCAGGTGGAGTGACGATTTGCGCAAGATGGCTGGCAGGAGCTGGATGCGAGAAGCCCAAAATCGATCTAAGTGGCGTGCAATGGGAGAAGCCTATGTCCAGCAGTGAACTGCGATAGGCTGATGATGATGATGATGATGCTGTAGGTATATATGTACCTATACGGAAGCTAGCTATGAAATAAACAATATTACTTTTCAAACTTGCCAATCTCAGCATCGTTCACTGACTGAACTTAAAATGAAATAATGTTTTCCTTATTTCTACTGAGCATTATTTTCTGTGAGTCTACCTTATTATTACCGCAATTTAAGTAAGCGTGCCGCGTGCGCGGTCCTCCCGATGTTGGCGGGGATACCGAGTGTAACTTTATCGGCAACAAAGAGAATCTGTACATAGTACAGCCGGCAAATGAAATACCTATGTATGTATATTTGCTGAATGTGACTCACTGGTGTAAGTGACACGACAGTATACGAATATTGCGTCATTCGATCTTTACTATCAACTGTTGGTAAACAGTAGCTCGAAAGTAACGGTGTGCCAACGTTTTCGTGGAAGCCTTGGTAAAAGTTTTTATACTAAACACCTATCTGGTAAACGGACCGTTATCTTACTACGTGAAAAAGAAAGGGCGCACAATTAAATGAAAACAAAATATTAGGTAGGGAACCCGTAGAGTTCATTATTATCTACAGATATTGAAAGTGTTTTACCAAATCGTCACAGTTTTTAGTCTTACTAAAAGTTATCTCAGAAACTGGTGTTATTACCTACTAATCACTCTGATCATACTTGACAACATTTTTACCGTTAAATATCCAAAAAAGTAGGTAGGTACCTGCAGAATTAACCTACTGACATAAGCTATTCGGATAGCGGAGTTGTTGTAAGGATTGGGTTTGACTTCGATCAAAGATGGGGCAATAATTGACCCTAATGTGAGTTCGGTTTGTATCTGTTACCTTTCTATAGATATAAAAACGTTAAAAGCGGCTACACACGGTCATTAGCAGTGAAAATACCGGGGAAATGGTGGGGAGCGTCCTAGATCGCTCTCTTGATCGCCTCTTGTGTAGGCTAACCGTAATCATCATTATTACCCCTAACTCAGAAATTGGTTCAAATGAAATTTATGATCGATTATCGACTAGGGATCGTTGTCCGTGGGTGTGTAGCGAAATCGGGACCGATTTCACCGCAGTGTACGTACGAGTGTAGTGGCACAGGACGTTCTGTTCGTTTATTCTGTTTTTGTATTAATGGTGTCACCAAATTCTGGAGCTCTTCGAAACATTCAATATCCATTCTCAAAAAGTTTTTCAAAATTTGGTTCTAGGTGTTAAATGTCTCATCTCGTTCACGTGACTTAATTTATGGCGGGTCATCAATCACCCCTTTCCCCCTTTCCCCGTCACAAATGGTTAATTAGAGCAGGAAGAATGAAGAAATTTTCAAGAATATTATG